ACGTTTTATAAAGTAAAATTCTTGTTCGCAAACGGAAACCGGCAAACCTTTACACGGTTCGCATAAAGGTTTCATGAATCAAAATGAAACTTTCTTATTTGGTGTCGTGGAGGGAAGACTTGAAATTAATCTACTGTTTTCTCAAAATGGGGTCCTCTTGGTACAATTGAATCTCACAATGCGCACAAATATATTTTTCGGAACTCTGAATGCCCAATGGTTTAAATTATGGATCAGGCTGTTTTTCGCTTTGAATCAAACACACATGGTATACTTTCGCTTCAAAGATTTTTTTACCAGGTAAAATTGCGCATTATTTCGATAAACATTTAATTATTTTGACTTACCTCGCTCAATCCATTGTTGACTTAAGATTCATTATCCACTGTATTTAACGGATAATCTGAAACATGATAAGACGTGTTTTAAAACCTGTTTGGTTCACAAAGAATTAAGATTTTCCCGAAATAACTGCAAATGCCTATCTCGTGAGGAAGTTACGCTATATTGTGCCAAAAAGATTTTCCTTATTTACCCACAAAAATATAGTGAATTTCTAGGTGCGTGAACAATTGCCTAGCATAATATCACGTTCACCATTAAAAGTGAAAACTACGCTGCGATCCCTGCATTTTTAAGCTCTCTTTTCTTGTAACAGTTCAGTTTTTTATTTGGAGAAGTATTTTTTTAACTAAATCAATCATATTCCTTTCAAGAAGTTTGTAGGGAAGCGAGTAATCGTAAATATTAGGTTTCTAAGGGATTTTATGGTCCTGAGAAAAAGATCTCAGTCCTCAGGGTGATATAAAAAAATCCGTTGCATTATATCTAGTTCAACTTTCGATAAGTTGGTGACAAAATGAGACTCAAGTTACCAATTCTAAGACAAATAATCTTATTTCATTGCAGGCATTTTTTTGCCAACCTATGACATGAAACAAAAAAAATTTGTTCTTGTTTGGAAAAAAAGAATGATAGGTAGAGAGCAATCCAGTTAATAAGGAAAAAATAAACATTTCTAACGACCAGGAAATTATTCTAACAAGATCAGATTTGATGTTTTTTTCTGTGAGACAACAGAGACGAAATTTAACACGCCAATTGCGCTGGAAAAATAAACAGTTCGGCTTGGATAGTGATGTGGAGGCCCACGAAAAATGTTGAAAGTGTTAATGAAGTTGTCAGATGCTTCTCGATTTCCCTTCAGGCCTCAATGCAACTTTCGAAGTACTCTCCGACAAAATCAAGTCACGAACGGTGTCGCGATAGAACAGCCGGAATTCCGTTGTTTTCTTAAGCGCGCACTTACTGTATTCGATAACCAAATCGATTGATCAGAATGTAATGGAAAAAAATCGATGACATCTGCACATGAAGTCATTCATTGTTATATATTTTTAAGAGATTACCCTAAGCTTTTGCAGAACTCGTCTTAAACAAAGTTACTACCCAGTTACATCGAGCATTAATTCGGGCTCTCGATGTTTGCAAACACAAGCCGAGCAAGTCATGCTAGAGTCTTTTAACACCAAAAATTAACCGAACCGTCCAAAACTTACCACGGAATGGTGTTATGAACTGCTTACGACTGGCACACAGCATAAAAAGAGAGAAACACGATATTTTGGCTTCTAAATTTCCGAAATGTTATCAGACAATTGGATTGAGCGTTTGCTAAACAACCCAGTGGATGTTGTAAAAGAATGTCTTGACTCAATCGTATGCTAATTTATCTGCGAATTTGACAGGCCTGTGTACAGAGAAAACAAAACCCAAGACAATCCACTATCAACATTACACCCTCACTCCGGCAAAACGACAGAAAGTAAACTTACAGATTTCCTTGCATGCAAAGACTACTTTAAACCCAGCACTAAGAACAACGGCGTCTTCGAATGTTTTTGTCCATGGGAAAGCTTCGCAGTTTTCAAGGAGTAAGCAAATGGATGTCTGAGGGCGAAATTTTGTTTAATTTTCGTCTTTTATTTGTCGCAAGACCTTTGATAAAGCCGCTCTAACTACTAACTGAGACAATCGAGACACATAACAAATATCTACCCACCTTGCTGCCTTGGAAATTGCATCAAATTTTCGATTCTCACACGCAAAAAATATTCATAATCAAAAGTGTATAAGCACAAAGAGATCAGTGTAGAGTTAAATGATCCGATTTTGACAGGGTACTGCGTTTGATAGGAAAGAAATCCGAGACTATTTTAGTTTGTTCTCACACCTAATTAAAACCAACTGAGCACATTTGTTGATATAGTTACACCTCTTCTTCCTCTAAGGGCCATATTTCTCCTTTATTTCTCCCTTAAGAGCCCAGCAGGTGAATCGCGCACTTAGAAAATCTTTTTTCAGAGAGAGCAAAAACCCTTACACGGCCTCTAACGGAAGGCACTTACTTTAAAGCCAGCTCCTTCTAAACATTATGGTGCAATGAGGATTAACAGCCCCATCAAGATGTCATGCAATGCTTCAACCCATGCGTGACATCCTTAAGAACCTCTGAAGGGGTCCACGTCCAGTGATACTATACAGCAGCGCAGCGCTTCAATACAAGAGTGGCGTTGACCAAAAAGGAAAAATTAGGTGGGGGAAGGAGTGGACATAAAGAATTTTATTTCGCGTTGAACAGCCTAAGATGGCCAAACGAAGGTTTGGAACTGGTTAGACTGGCATCAAAATTGGGACAGGTTTTCCTTAATAGAGTGACGATGGAAAAAATTAAAGGTCAAAAAATTTTGTTAATTTTTATCCTACTCTTCACAGCATAGCAGATTATAAACTGCTTACAATCTCTTGCTTGCCGGTTTGAATTTGCTATGGGCTTCAACAGTAAGTTGCCATCTTGTTTACTCATTTCTTGTTAGGAACGATGAACAGATAAAATTTCGTAACGCAGTGATAAGGTCCGATAAAGTGACATGTTTTGGTCGAGTGTGGGGAATTCCCGAGAGGAAAGGCAGCCCAAGTTTGATTAGCGAGGAGACTTTTTTATTTAAGAACCATACTTAAATGTTTAGTAGCCCCTGATTGCTCACTATAATCCTAAATGTGCAAATAAACGTTATCTTCCTAACTTGTATGAGATTTGAGTTTAATTCGTGTTTTTTTCTAAGAATTCTGTGGTTGAGTTCGGTTTTTATGTCGATCGTACCCATATCGAAGGTCTGGGCTTGGCATCATCATGGATTGATCCCTTACGCACGGTCTTTTCAAATGGAAGACAAGAAAGAGCTACCGTCGTCTGAAAAGTGTCACCTTCATTTTGCCTGCTAACAGCAAGCTCTCTTCGACTCACTCCGAAAAATAAAGTTAGCGTCTATGACACCTATTCGTTTGCAACCGTACTTAAGACAGCTTAAAAGTTTCGTTTTGCACACTCTGAGAACAAATTCCGAGATTTGCACCCTTGAGCAAGATGACGAGCATCCTTACCAAAGGTTTGGAGAACGACATCGAACAGAAGCCCGGCTGGGCATGAACCCACATTGCACAATAAAAAGCTCTTTGCACGTAGTCGATGGTTTATGCTAGAGTTAATATAAAGACAGAAGCAAGAAGACTGATAAATTTTTGATGTTCTTGCCAATTGTAATTCGTAATTTCCCATTCAATTTGCAAAAACCAAAACTCTTTACGCAACATTTACTCAAAATGTCTGATCTCAGTCGCGAATTGTTTTTTCAACTTGTTGATGTGACCGGTGAAATCAACGGTCAAAAATGTTGTGTTCTTACAAACACTATTCAAATGGAGATAGCTTCGCTGATTTATCAATTGTTGATGAGTCAACTCTAGAAATTCTGTACCCCTACTTTTCATGTTTTCTGAACTGACGTTTAAATTTGATAAATTATTATTGGGTTTTCTCCAGGATAACAAATTGTTAGCCATTTTTTGGTAACTTTCGTAAGATGTAAGCTGCATTGTCCGTGAGTAGAGGTTTATTTCCAATTAATGGACAAAAAGGTCGTTGAATATCCAGACGATTAAAAAGTTATTTTTTTTCATAAGCTGAAAACAATCTTAAAACCTGAACAGCCCTCAAAACTGAAGTAACAAAAACTAACAAAGCTTATCCTGTTTTGGGTATGATAATCTGTAATGAATAGGTACACTCTGTTTAGATCCGTTTCAAGGCAGTGCCAGAGCACAATCAAAATTACTTCAGTTCTTCAAGTCCTCCTTCAAGACCTATTCATAGTTCAGTGTTAATCACAGTTTTTAATTTAAGTGGTCGACTAGCACAATGCTACTAATGCAGATGAAAAAAAAAATTGTGAACATTAAAAAAGAGTAATACCTGCCACGTGTATTCCATGGTAGTCAAGTTGTCCCTTTCGTCGTTCCAGTAAACCCAGTCAGGTAGTGGAATCTACAATTCAAATCGCGTGCCAAGCTTATATTTTCCGATTTACAAACCTTTGGTAGTTTCCCGTTCACCGCAAAACAATTAAAAGTGGTTTAGTAATAGAAACAAAGTGAAGTCAGCTGTTTAAACGATGAACTGAGGTTACCACGGAAGAAGCAACGAAAGCTGTCGAGCTTGTTTTGTCCTCGTTTTTATGAGTTGACGTGCGGATGACAGACTATGATTAACTATAGAACCTTTCGTAGAAAATCGGCTTTCAAAAGCTTTAAAACTGTTGGTCATTATCCCAAAACGAACTTACAGTGTAATCGTTAGTTCCAAACACGGGTGATTTTTCGTGAGGGAGGAGTAGGAAAAAAATTTTATTGCCACATCAATTGGTTCTTGGTACTCTACTTGACGTGCGGGTGACAAACTATGATTGTCTAAAGAACTGGCTATTGAAAATTGGCTATCAAAAGCTTTAACACTGTTGGCCATTATCCCAAAACGAACCCACAATGTAATCATTAGTTCCAAGAATGGCTAATTTTTTGTGAGGGAGGCGTGGGAGAATATTTATTACCATGTCCATTAGTTCGTGGTACTTTCCAAGTCGAAAAAAAATGAGAAAGATTGGGAAGGAACTGTCTATTGCATATAACATTTCGGTTTTTTTTTAGGTAAGTTAGTTTTTAGGGCATAGCTTATCTATCTGTTTGTTCAAAAACAGAATTAATTTGACAGTTTAGTGAGTGTTCCTAGCTTTGGACAACACATCGTTTCGTATATGGTCTCACACTACGTCAGTAGCACAATTGTAAAATGATTAGATCATTATACATTCAACCATATTTATCATGGAATCACCTTTCACACCAGACACCTACTTCTAGCCGAAAAAAAAAGTCCTTCACCAGATCAAAAGGCGACTATTTAAAGTTCTCAAGTCAAAATGTCAACTTCCAAAAATCGGGGCATAATTTAGATTTCTCCCATCCGGATACTAACGCCAACCCACCCATTAGAATAAGACGTTTTCAAAATACTCTCATTAGTTACTCTTCCCTCCTCTTCCGATTTCTTGCTCAATGTTTTAGAAACTTAAAATAAGGCAAAATTAAGCTAACGACAACCAGTATTTTTCGAGACTTGTTGCACCAGTATACGCACATTATACGACGTATCACAATAAGAATATTTGAGAAGGACAGAATGCGTTAGTCTTGCTTTAAAACACCTAAGAAAATCGTAGTGGTTACTTCAATTTTTTTTAACTATACATAACTGAAAACTTGTTCCACCCTTCAATAGTTCTATGTACAAATTTCAAGTAGAACCCTGTTTCAGTTATCCTCTCTTTATACGAGAGAAAGGGCAGCGCCCAAACAAACCTAGACCAAGAAAAAAAAAGCCGTGACGACAATAGAACATTATATGCATCAGATCATCCTTGAAAAGCGTTTTACAAAACATACTTTTTGATAAAGGGAGGTTTAGCTGGGCCCACTAAGCACAACACAGAACCTTGAAGACTGGGTGGGGCATACCGAACAACCAAAAACGAAAAGATGTCATGTTCCTCTTTAACCACATAAAGCGCCAATAATACATTTCAACATTGCCAAGACAACAAAGAAAGATATTCAGAAGATGAAGCAATTTTTCAATACACATTGAATAACTTTCTCCTCAGGACAAACACGACTAGAACTTCTGGATACAGTGATTCTCCAAGGAGCGTTAAACAAGTATATGAGACATAACCTGTCCTTGTGTTGTCTGAATGTTTTACTTGTGTTCCTCTAACTCTGAAATCGTCTGAGGAACCATGTAACGCCACAGATAACTATCTTTTTTCTCTCTAAGTTGTTTCCCAGAAGCTACTTTCCAGTGGCTGAGGTTAGGTAAGTTTAGTCGTGCACGTGTCATCTGAATGACTCCTGTTTTGGGGAGAAAGCTTCACAGATTTATCCATCATTGTCATAGTCAGGCGGGTGCGCTGAGTCGCCTGAGTGGAGTTGTTCATGCCGGCGTAGGATGTATCCAGTCTACGACAGACCAAACGCAGCAAAAGCCCTTTGAAAGCTTTGTTAAACCTCCGATTTCTGACCGAGTAGATGATGGGGTTCATAGCAGAGTTACCAAAGTGCAGTACTTTCACTGCCATCAGGACGCGCATGTCCCATACGAATGTGCACGCAGCGCACCATTTGTAGATCAAGATCGCCGAAAAAAATGGAAGCCAGCAGATGGCAAAAACGCCGGTTACTAAGGCAACAGTATAGGCCACATGAAGGTCCTACAAAAAAAAAAGGAAAGCAAGCTGTTCAAAATCAAACTCAAGAACACTTACAGCCTGGAGATACAGGGAAGAGATCCTTTCGAGAGTCAGAGGTAAGACACTTGAAATATAATTTGCGCGATGACCGTATAATACTCTTCGACTTCTCGAAAAGCTTTAAAATCCCAAGCAATTTATATTGTTGCTAGCAAGAGCTGCTGGTTACGAAAAAGAATTGTAGCCAGTGCGGGGTATAGATGTTAATTCGTTGTTTTTGAATTTCTAACCGAGCTGGCCCAGTATGCCAAGATAACGGAAACTGTATTCAACCCTTATTTTTAAGAGCCAGAACGTCCTCAAATACATACTAACCGAACCATCACGATCAGCAGGGGTCTTGGCACTGCGAATCGGAGATCTAGTCGGGTTGAACTGCTTCGTGTTCTCCCCTTTTACTTTACCGGGCAAACCTAGCTGGATTGGCTCAGCATGATGGATTCTCTAATCTTCAAACTTCTCCCTAATTTACTCAGTTAATGTTTGGTTATGAATATACCTTCTTTAGGGAACGTCTACTATGTTCTTTCAAGCTCCTTTTGGCCACAAAGAAGATAGCTATGTAAGCAGCAACTATCAACAGCGACGGAACGAAGAAGAAAGTAAACGTGTTGAATATGGCGACATCTTTCCAGCCGGAAAGCTTTCTCAATAAGGCGTTGAAAATGGCAAGCAGCCATGAAAGCACGATACCAGCGAAAATTTTAGCTGCAAGGAAAACATAGCAATTGGATATTAAGCTGTTGTATGGACTATATGCACTAGAAAACGAGAAGTAATACGATGAAGGAAAAAGATTAAGGCAAGGGTTTGGAAAGACGGAGGGAATTGACGAGTGAAGGATTGATAAGATCGAGAGAAAGGCAGGAGGAAGAGCAAAGACAGGAAGATATAAAAAGTGAGGAAGAAAGTGTGTTGAAAAGGAAGAAGTTTTTGCATACCTTTACCGATCTTCCTGTGTTTTAAGGGTGCGACTATAGCATAACACCGCTCTATACTAATACACGTCAAGTGCAGAATAGACGACACACCCGATACAATGTCACCCAATTGGTAATACTTATACAAATCGTTCTTGAAGTCAAACGTGACAATGAAATATATCCATAGGGGAACAGAAAATAACCCAACCAAAAGATCCGCCACAGCCAGGGAGAATATGAAGTAGTTGGTTTTCGTTTTAAGCTTGGGGGTGGTAAGGAAGGCGATGATGATCAACAAATTCCCTGAAAAAAGAAGAAAAAACGATGTTAAATTATTAGTACTGAAAAAGTTCTCTTCTCTGTGAAAACAGTTCCATGGCGCCATTTTTGAACGCATCTTCCACTGGCAATTTTCAAACTGAAAAGGATAGTGGTTCCTGTTCACCAATTTTCAAAATAAAAATGGCCTATTATTCCTTAATTTTGAGCAAAATCGCTTTCAAATTTGCCGCCTCACTAGTCATGAATAATTTCGATTATGAATAACTGGTGAGGCGGCATTAAAATAAAAGGGCTTCCGTCGATTAGAGTGGATTTCGATTGTGTATCGCGAAACCAAAGCCAAAATTATCACTAGTTGATCGAAAAAAAATTAATATTAAAATGAGGCCAGCTAACAGCCAAGCTATCTACAGTTAGTTACTGAGTTTCCGAACAGCACCAGCCACGCTTAGGTCGCCATTTTACAATTCCACCCAAAAGAAACAAATGATTTTTAAAAAAATACCTTTCAAAAAATACCTTTAACCCTTTAACTCCTAAGGTCTGATTGTTGATTCTCCCATCCAACTGCCACAAATTAATTATGAGAATTTGGTATAAGATCAAGACAAAAACTTCTACCTGATAAGTTTGAATATTCTCATTACCTGTTTGTTGGATAATGTAATGATCTTGTAGGGAGAAGTTTCATGTTGATCACTTGTGGGAGTTAAAGGGTTAAACCAATATCAATTAACCCTTTAACTCCCAGAAGTGTTTAAAATGTAACTTCTCCCTATAATATCCTCACCTCATCCAACAAACAGGTTATAAGAAAACTCAAACTCATCAGGTTCGAAGTTGTTATCTTGATCTAACACAAAATTCTCAATACTAATTTCCAAAGAAATGTGTAGCAGCTGGAGGGGAGAATCAACAATCAGATCTTGGGAGTTTATAGGATGAACAAAGAGATTCCATGCTGCCGTATGTCTTTTCAGTAATAGATTATAGATGACGTCAAAATGTGGTAAGGACAAAAAAGCGGCACATGAGGAGATATCTGAGTGTCACTGATGTTCTTACCACATTTTTAAGTCACCTGTGATCCATTACTTTACAGACCCACGGCAAAATAGAATCTACATATATGATAAAAAGGGAAATTTTGTGAAAGGTATTGTCATCTATGCGTCTGTCCTCCAATATATCATGACTAAGAACCGATCAAATGCGTTTGTAATTCAGCGCATCATCTAAAACCATAAAGAACAAATTTTCTCCACGAGGGTTTTGGTTACCAAGGTTACGTATCCGTGAAAAAGATGACGATCTTAAAAACAAAGTAAACGACTTTCCTCTTTTATTCTGTTTATATGGGACAAAAGAACGGAATTCGCGAGCGAGGTCAGTTCAACAGTTAATATGCCCCGTTCACCGGATTTTTTGTTTATAAAAGGCATAATGTAAAATGCCTTAGGCGAGCTAAGCAATAGAATATTCAAGTCACGCACCACAGTAGCAATAAGCAAAGTCATCTCTAATGTTTTTGTGTACATACGTCTTTAGCTGACGATGTATTTCACAAAGTAAACCTAAATGGAAGCCCACGTGTGGGGTCCGTTAAACGCATTAGCCGGCGCTGGGGCCTTACAAGAAATTAGGTATTAAATTTAAATAATGTCCCTGCTCTCTTGTCTGATTTCAACCCGAGCACAATATAAATGTCTGCTGAAACAGGATTTGAAAAGAGATCAAACTAAGCCCGAAGCATTCGTCGTGTTCTGAGATCTAACTAAGTTTAATGCAACGCATCTATTTTTCAGTCTCGTTTAGAAACGTAAGAACCAGTCATGTTATTATAAAAGCGTTTAAAATCATTCACTAATACTAACCCGCAACAATGAGGATTACGAGAGCAGAATATATTCCAACTCCAGTATAAACCCAGCTTGGCTCGATCTGAAGAGCATTAGCAGGAGCTCTTTGCGTAACATTTGTGGAGTTTTCCATTGATCCGTGATTTAAATCCCAAGTCAGCGAAACTCAGTGCTAATAAGAGAGAAGGATCAAGAAAGACGAATTATTGATAGTCATGCTCTCTAATTGGTCAATAACCTATCGTTTAATTTACCAGTTGGCCGAAAGAAATAAACGCAATTTACATTTAGTTCATCCTGACCATCCATCTTTAGCTCGAAACATTCAAAAACATTTTCTTGAGTTCTCTCGACGACATGGCTTTTTTTTTCTTCAAAATATCGATATCGAGTTTATTCGTCTCTCACCCGCGTAACTCGCTAAACTTACCACCTCAGTATAGTCTGACGAAGGGCTAATGCTCGAAACGATCAACTCTTTACGGTGGCCAGTGTACGTTATCAACTCAGTTGATAATACTAAACTACCCTGTTATACTCTCCCACCGAAGTAGTACCAGAGTTTCTTTAGAAACTTACCCCCTTCACCTCAAATTTATTAAGGCTTCACCTTCTGATTACTGGGCTAGAATAAGTCGTACAATCTTAGAAGAAAAATAGCTATCAGAGATAGCTCATCACGTGGCCGCTTTAAACTATAGAAGATCAAAATGATCCTCTTTAATCGATGAATCGCAATATTTGGCCCGCACTACGTCTTCTAATTTGCGCGCGTAGACTCTGAATTCTATCGATAGCAGCTTTTCTAGATCGCAGCAGAGAACGTCAACACCTTCGCTAAACTGCTATTGAAAGCCTCAAGTTCTCTTCACAGTCTTATTTCACCAAACTTGCGAATGGAAAACAACCTTAAAGTACAAAGACCGCAAAGTAATAACGATCAACAAAAGCTTTAAAACTTGCTTGAGTCAACATTTTATCATTTGATGACGTGTGCCAGCTCACCGTTGGCCATCAGTGTACCCAACGTGAATAAGTCTCGACGCCATTAACGAACTGACTTCCTCATGTGAGGAAGTCTGTTTGTTAATGTCGTCGAAATTCATTCACGTTGGGTACGTTGATAACCAACGGTGAGCTCGCAGCACGTCATCAACGGATAAATTGGAACTTAATAATAAACTGAAAAACCGACAAACCTACTCTGAGGTATGATAAAGGTTGTGATTCGTTTTTCATCATGAATAGGTCACATCTTATAGTCAAGCATCTTCCACACTGTAGCTGCCGTTTTTAAGTCGTGATTTACTCTTTAAACTGAATAAAGGTTTTGGGCCAATGGAATTCATGGCATTGGATCTTCATTGATTTCAGCACTGATACCTATTTTCTTCTGTTTACGCTACTAATCTAGTGAACGTATTAGTAGATTTTCCCGACGACGGCTGTCAAGCAAACTCAGAGTTATCACAAAACCTCTCTCGGATGAAGGATGCAATCTCACATTTTCCATTACCGGCGTGAGTTAACCTTCTTACAGCAAAAATATTTACCTTTACGATAGATACGAAGAGTAATGCGAAATTTTAAATTCACTCACGATGGTCAGAATATCTCGCATACGCTAAAAAGGTTAGTTTTGCGGCGTCTTTGGACTGTCCCTTTTATGCGCCAAGCAGATCAGCTCATCATTCTCAGTTTTGTCCGACAGTTACGAGATCTTTGGGAAAGTAGTTTGACCAGTCAGAGCACCAAGTTTAGCTGGCTTGCCCTTGAAAGCCGGAATATTTACTTCTACCCCTGACCTCGGCGGAAATTGCTGAAGAAAGGGGGCGAGATTACATATTTGACAGTGACGTAAGTAGATCAATTTCCGCCGTCACCATAATGATAATCTTCATCGCAGTCATTGGTTCCACGGTAACATTAAGGTAGAGGTTAATATTGTCACGGAAAATGAGTAATGCCTCTTTTTAAGTCAAGTATTACTGAAAAAGAGCAGATCGGTAAATTGCCAAGCCATCGAAAACTTTGAGTTTAGCTTTCTGACTGGATGTTTGCCATATGATATCACCCTGCAGATTTGCCTTGCGGATGTAATAAACAACTTACAAGGAAATATATCAGCTTAACAATGGCCACCTTAACGAATATTGGATTAAATAAGAAAAATAATTCATTAATAAGTAATGTAGCTTGCTTACGGACACAATTTACTGAAAACTATATACCAGTACGATTACAACCGATTACAAAGGAGTTTTGGTATGACTCGGGAGGGATAAATGGAGGAAATTCTAAATTGATTTTTAAAGCATTTACAACTTTTTGTATTTCAACCAAAAGGCTGTTTTTTTTTGGTTGAAGGTGAAACCAGGTGTTCCCGCATCATATGCAAAAATCGCTTCAACGCGAGAGGAAAAAGTGGTAACACATTTCTACAATAAAATGAGCTCTATTTAATAAGCGTTGCTACGACAAAATTAAAGGGCATTAGAAAGAGAAAACTGCAAACAATCACTTTTTACGAAGGGCGACGTTTAATACAAAAGAGAATTGTATCAGGATTTTTTTAATTTGTGGACTGGTAAGAAAAATAAAATTGATTATTTAAAGCTAAAATCGGCGGCAAAGTCTTTGATCTAGCGGTGTTCTTGAACAGGGAGAAACAACGAAGATCCAATTTGATAAGCTGAGAATCAGAGCCACTCATGCGCGAAGAACAGACTACTGGAAATAAACTCTGCAGGTGTGAAATGAAAATGTAAATATCTCTCTCTACGAAATGTAAATATATATCACTTTAATCAGGACAAAAGATATTGATGCAGTATCAAAGTCTCTGATGTTTGTTGAAAGATTGGCCCAAAAAACTTGGCTTTAAGAAACGGAGAGATACTTTATCAAATTTGATTGTTTATTTGCACTTTTTAATTCGATTCCACTCTTCATTGATGTTTTTCTTTCTACTCTCGTTTCAGTAGTAATAATTGGGTTTGTTCGTCAAGATATTTTCAGAACGTTAAAAACACTTATGAACGAATGAATATTTGATCGATATTTTTTTGTTTCACTGAGATTTACTTCTGCCTTAAAGGCCTACTGAAATAACGATATACCAACTAATTCCGAACTAATTCCTTTTAAAACCAGTAACTGAGAAATTAAATCATATAACGTTAGCTTATAAACAAGACCCTTTTAGATGCTCGAAAGATGAAAGCACGCCGCGATACTGAAAACATAACTCGTTCTCAAATTTTTCAGCCGCTAAATCCTAAATTACTTCTATCCAGTCTAACCTCCAAATAGTTTGATTTATCGTTAAGACTGAAGCTAAAGTAAAGGAAATGAAGCCATTTCGCGCTCTGGTCTTCCTTTCGTGAACGCGCGAAAGCATCCTAAAAAATCACTGAATTCAATCAGTGATGAGCTGTACTCAACTACAGGAGTCTAGACAAAGCTATGCACAAGAAACTTTAAGAAAGGAATCGAATTAATCAAAGAAAAATCACCGAGGCGGCAACATCTCTGGCTGCGAGGTATGACACAGCGGACAAATGAAAACGAAGTCGGAGAAATTGCCTTAACTGGAGCCTTTCGGAAGAAAGGAATGCATGTAGTTTGTTTGCTTATGCAGAGAACAACACACCTTGTGTATATGTCAGCCTTGAAAGCGCAGGAGAAAATCACGCACGAGTGCCGCCGTTAAGATTGAAATAAGAAAAATTACTCTGCCCAGTAATCGATCAATCTCTTGTTGTGAGTGTAAGAAAATGTCACAGATAATAAAATACCCACTGTGTTGGTCTAAAATTCAAGATAACTTGTGGTTTCTGATTCAGGAAGACAACATCAGTAGGAACAAATTTAATGGACCATATTTCTTCCAGCGAAAAAAGTAGGAAGAAAGTGATAAAATTAACCTTTTTCTGATGTTAACCCCAAAACAGAAGTGCTAGGAAATACTCGTGCTATGGTCGCTAGAGCTTACCACGTTACACCTGCCTCTGGGTAGTAATTTATTCCCTAACGGAGAAGCGAGAAGTGGCGGCTACTTTGGAGATGTTTCATGATTAAAACTTACCAGTTAAATCGTAAATTTCAAGTTTTCAAATAACTGTCGAATCATGAAAGTCCACCGTCTGACTCAAACAAAATTGTCACTGAATGCCCACGTGAAGGAAAAGATTGAACTAACGGTCTTAAGTCCAAAGGAATATGGCAATTTCTGTGATCTGGTGATTACACGATCATGTACAAACAAACTCACGATCGAATTTGTTGCTGTACATCGGTAAACAGTAAGCAAGGATTATAGCCTTCTATGTGCAATCATATCGGCCGGTGTACTGCTAGCTGAACCTCAAAATTGAATTTTGGAGATTAAAACACTTTGAAGCCACCTACTGTTAAACTAATAATCGCATAAAACACAAATAGATTCAAATTTCCCGCAGATTTACACAATTCAAAGAATACAAAGTTAAGCTATTCATCTGCGGGTCTTTTACATCAACACAAATTCACTGGTGATTTACAATACCACCCTGTTTTTGGCCCAGGAGCTTTTGGCGACGTCAGTAAAACTTTTCAGTTGTAACGTTATACATCATAGATTATGCTTATTTCTGAACACATGAGAAATTCAATCAAGATTCTAAAACACTTAATAAATGCATACATATATATATATATCCTTATGCAATCAGTCATAGACTAACAACCGTCACTTTTACTTATAATGGAGACAAGATGGTTTCGGCCGCGTAGGCGGTACTAGCTAATTTTTATCACTAATTACATTGCGAAAAGTTGCCTTATTTAGGTTTTATAACGGAAGGGGTGAATAATTATTGAGCTTCCGAATTTTGCGCAAATTTCAAAGATGCCTCTTACCGTGTGTCGCATCCTAACCTTACGGTTCGTGGAATGTACACCTTTGATAGATGTGGTCTCGTGTATAAATCATTTTCTCACTCCCAGTAAGTGCTGTGGGCTTATCTCCTCTTAATCTATGGTTCTCTTTTACGCACGATTTGGAATTTACTAAATGGTTAACCGTCGTAAAAACAGCTGAACACATTTCCTTATTACTACAAGGTGAAAGTGACTCATTTTGAGCTTGAAAACTAAGACAAATAATTAGTATACAGCTGATATTGACACCAGGCTTCAATTGATGTCACTTAGTCACACAAACCTATCAACCAAGCATTGCTCAAATTAGCCGAACTCCAGGCTATAGGCGATTACCTTAGTTATTTATTCATCGAACAGTTCGATAAATTCTCGACCGCAAGAGTTTTTTTTTTCAAACCCTTCTTTTCCATACCAGCAAAAAAAGATGGAGAGTAATTTCATGAACCACTTTTTAGGCTTTACGTAGTTTGTCTTAGTAGGCAGAAAATAGAATTTTTCTACTGGCCAAAGCACTCATAAATCTGGCCGCACAGGTTAGCCAGATTTCTTCGTGAAAACAACGTACTAATGCTAGCAGGCAAAACCAAGATCGTGTTTTCAATTAAGACCAAATTCTTTTGAGTTGGTTGATTAGGTGGAATTTTTTCCGTGGCCTTTTGGGTAAAATACCTCTTAATGGTTGATCTAATCAGGACTATTTCCACACCAGATTGAAAAGGTCAAAAAAGCAAGGGTAGTAACCGCTATCGTTATCGCGGGCTTAATGAGGTTGCGATGGGTGGGGCTCCAGTAGCTTGTAAAATAACGCTTTAAACATGCTTTTTCGACAACGCTGGATATGAGAAAGGGAAATCAGTTCGAATACTCTCAATTTGTGAAAGTACCATCTTAGTACCTGCACAATTTTAGTACCTATGCAAAACAGTTATAACTTAATTAATTAGTGGTCACGAATACAAAATACTTTTGTCTCATCATAAATTGACTACTAAATCAATATCAATTTTCACTAGAAGATATAAATACGATTCTGAAGTTAAAGCAGTCAAAATAAGCACATTGTACGCCGAAATAATGAACTGAGAAAAAAACTGTCGGAGCCGAGTTTTAATAGCTTTTAAACCACTATACTTAGTTATCTCCTCGATGAACTGAACTGATTTGTTATCTTATACTTCTCACATACGTCTGACAACAAGTTGAAATTTTCTTTCCTCTCAGATTTTGAGTTAAATGCACTTGGAGTAAGATGTTTTCTAAGAGTAAAATCTCTTCTTCGTTTTGTTTTTCTGACCATCAGATACTCTTTTCTAAGTACGTACTTCGGCTATGTAACTTTTTTTGTTCTGGGAGATATCAGATTTCTTCTCTCAGCCAATCTGTGAAAATCATACCTTTGGTACCTCGCTTTACCAGAAAGGTTCAGCATGAATTAATGAATAACAGACAATACACTCCAAATTAAAAAAATTTCCCTAATTTCCCTACTCTTAAACTTTTTTTTCTCTTTTCAGGGAGTCTGTTCAGTTGTTCACCTTGTTTGGCATTGAATAATTTTAATTCAACTTGTTCTGAATTGAAACTGATGATGAAAAACTAAGTTACTGCCTACCACTAAGAGTTCAATCGTGAATTACTGGTAAACAGACCACGAACGACAGCGCATCATATTTCATTTACACCATCAATGCACTAATTTATCATCCTATATCCATGAATGGTCATTAAGCTGCAGAGTTTGTGTTCAGAAGAAAAATTTAGCCAACAAAAGATTGTGTAATGGAGCAACACACTATCAAATCTGGCCTGAATCTGGAAAAGAAATCCGAAAGGCAATCTGGGAGAAGTAGTTGGAACGTGTTCCTTAAGAGATTTGATAGGGAATCGACGAGGAAATGTGTTTTGTACAAAAATATGATTGCTAATTTTTGAATCTATATATTAGGAAAACACAAAAGAAGGAGAAGAAGAAGAAGAAGAAGACAAAAAGGAAAAGCCAGCTGTTTCACGGTCAGATGTAGCCGCGACTTCCGAAATGAATTTTCGTTTCGACTCTGTGTATTTGAATCTGAATGAGGACAATGCTGAGAACCCTATCTCTGTTTTAGTAACAATGGATTTCAATTTAACCCGTGATTGTGTGAGAGCTCTGTTATGATAACCATCAGCAACAAGCTATTTGCGATAAAATCGTTTCGGTTACAGACAGGATGTGAGCACGCATTTACATGAAATTGTCTCGCGGGATTTTTGATCGAGTCTATATATTCACAAAAAGAGAAACATAATATTTTGGTGTTCATAAATATTATAGTTTGACGATCAACTTTAAATTGAGACTTCTAGGTGTAAGACAAACTTCACCATCGCGCCTTGCCGCGAACTACGTATACATATTTTATGCAAAGGAAACAAAAATTAATTTAGTGCAGAAGCGATACTGAACACCGGAACAAACGACCAACGAAGCCGTCTCGATGGATGTTGCAATTGCGCTGGTCTGTTTACTTTATCTGTTTCTCGCCATTGACTTGATTTACGGCTTTCAGAAATGGCGAGAATCTCTCAAACCAGAATCGAAGAAGGAGAAAACTTCATCTTGGATGGAGGATCGCTGCGCTTTGCAACGAAAACCTCGAAGCGTTAGAAGGACGATGATGTTAATAAACAGAGGTCTCAAAGGATGATAACTCGAAGTTGTGGAAACAGGAGATTATACAGAAAATATTCACACGTATGAAGTATTGCTTTAATATTTTGAGCTGTGAAAGGAAGGAAGAAGTTCCGAAGTGAAGCTACACGGTAATTTTGCGATCGCCCAGGCTGAAGATGATGATTATGGCACGACATAATTAGAAATCCGCGCAAACATGCTTGCAAGTAAAGAAAAAGGAAGGATAAGACAATTAAATGACCATTATGCGAATTCTCCGAGTTTCTCAAGGATAGAAAATCAAAAACACCCCGCATAAAACGCTTATGGAAGACTGTTTTGTCAAAAGTAAATTTACATGAAATGATCTTTCGGTGATACTTTCACTTTTCACTGTAATTTCATTTGTGAAAGAATTGTTTGGGGATCGCATGATTAGCTGTTGAGAAGCAAGACGTGTTTCATTTTTTAATAAAATCAACAGCACTTACAATACGGCTATTCAGCTTGGTGAAATTTGAATTTCCTCGGCATATCAAAGCTGGAGGAAAGAAGAATTATTGCATCGACTCAGGTTACGATGTTTCCAACCGGGAAGACGAAAACATTTACAAACATCTGTAACTTTCCTGAACGTAAAACATTGACATTTAAGTCAAATAAGACTATCAAGACTCGTAAACTAGAAGTCCTTATATTGACAGAAAGTCTTTTTGGAACAGCCTGTACTCTACTGATAATAAGAAATTCATCTGAAAAAGAAAATGTTTGCATGACTCAGCCCATCCTTAGCTATTGAATGTGAAGAGATAGATATCTTTCGCGAAAGCGTCAAGATGTTAATCTCTTTCATCTTGAACATCAAACGAAAGCTGGTTCGTGAGTTACCAATTCGAGATTATATTCATAAACAGTGCAATATGGTGGTGGTTTTTTGTTGTAACCGCGAACTTTTAGTCAATTTTAAAAAGGTGATAAGCTTTCGGTTCCATTTACGCGATAACTGAGTCTATAAATAGAGTCAAGAGAGTTTATCAGTCTGGCTCTTTTGATGCAACATAATCCGAGTATTGAACGAAAGAAAACATTTGTTGGCAGCAGAGGTGGAGTGGAGAAAAATGACTGCTCGAAGTGGTCTAAAAATAGTTCACAATGGTGTAGTATTTCATAGATATGAATGTAAACATGACACCACTGATTACTTCTTGCGTTGCGCGGCAAAAATCGTTACTGCCGCCGAGAAAATTCTTGCAAATTACAGAACGGTAAGTACTGAATTAACAAAAACCTTTTAGACTTCATTCATTCACCCCGCTATACATAAATTGCCCTCAACAAAATGGCAACGTACATGTTAAAAAGAAAAAAAGTATATGAATAAACAGTGTGGGATCTGGCAAGGAAACTAGTTTAGCTTTGTAAAACTGGATAGTTATTGGTTTTCACTTTTCCATCTCCAAAAAGGACTTAAACGAAAGTAAAAATCCAAAGCGTTCTTGGAAAAGTTACAGAGTCACATCAAACACCAAGTAATCCTCTGAGATTCAATTCAAACGATGAGAGTCCTCATTTGAGACTTGTTTTAGTAGAAAATTACTTATGATCTGGCCATTTAAAGAGTCAAACAAACAGAGAACAATCCATCTTTCAAACTATACGTAATAGAAAATAGTCAACGTACATGTAGCCAAAAAAAAGCTTACCTGACTTTCATGTAATTGGTGCGCTAATCGAAAATTTTCCCTCTTAACACCTTTGTGGGCAAAGAGGTTTGCCATCAACTACATAGGTGTTTTTCTTTTTTTTAAAGAATCAGGTTTAAACCTGTTCCTGTAAAAGTTAAAATATTTCAAAACTCAACTTACCACGAGATATGTAACGTTATTATGTTCAAGAGAGCGTGCTGGGGATTTTTACATCTCTGTCTGGATTTGCTGCTTTTATAATTTTTCGAACGACAATGAGAAGCAATCTTTATGAAAAGAAAAAAAAATGTTAAATTAAAGCCCAAGGCTTTTCATTCGTCCCCAGGAAGGAAAAGCACTAAATTCGGCAACTATCAATGGGTCAGTCATTTTACGCAAGCTAAGTAAACAGAGCGTTCACTCAAGTATACAGTGCTTTTCGCGCGCGCCAATTGGTTAGTCCGGTCTTAGCAAAGTATTATTTACCTTCGGGCAGCTGAAGAAACAGAATCTTGCGTCAAGAGTTTAACTACTGACCATTTTTCGTTATATAGCCTAATTTGTTGATTTCGTTGTGGTCTATACTAAAACAATTATTAACCCCACTGTCGGTAAAAATTGTTAACTATTGATAACTGCATTGAATAAAGGGGGTAAGTTTCAAAGGAAATGTGTGTTGCTGCGTCGGTGGGAGAGTGTAGCAGGTAATTTAGTGTTAACAACTAGGTTGAAAACGTAAATTGGCCACCGTAAAGTGTAAAAAAGCTGACGTTTCGAGCGTTAGCCCTTCGTCAGAGCAATTGATAACTGCAAATGAGCCAATGACGAAAGACCTAAGACTATGACTTTAATTAAAGACTTCGTGTTAATTTTCGGTAACGACAAAGGTGTAAAGGCTCACTGTGTCATTAACAGCGTTAAACGCTTCCTATAAATACATCTTACCAATTGATTGATTCCGAATGACGACAGTACTTACGATTTCATTTCATTGAAGATGTTAACATTCCCGACAAGGAAAACAAAAGTTTCATTGTTCAAATCGATCCTGCACCTATTTTAGCACATAAATGTTCGTATCTTTTATTTCGTGACCGATAGTGTCAATATCTAACTGACTCTTTCAGTTGACAAAGCATATTATTATATGATTTTTGTTACCACTAAGTGACTGAAGGGCGTGTTCAATAGGAAGCCTCGTCTGGCAAACTGCGACACGAAATTGAAAAAATAGCTGCCACCCTAATTATCGAAAGAAATCATTATTCTTGTTGAGAGTACCCTTTTTTCCAAGAAGATCACAAAAAAATCGAAGGAGGAGATTTGAAACGCATGTGATCGCCTCTGATGTTAAGCAAGTTTCAATTTGGTAGCTTCCGAAGTCAACTTTTTTAGCACATTTGCGAAGACTATTTTTGCAAAGACATGTATTTGAAGATCAGCTGGACCCAGTTGTTCGAAGACCAATTACCGCCAATCCAGGGTTAAATTACAATCCAAGTTTCTTTACACTTTGTTTTAAAGCCTTTTTCGGAACAATTTCTTTGTTTTTTTAGAACATTCAATCATCAAATTGTAGACAAAGGAATTATAATGAATTTTCTTTGAAAGCTTTCAGATTTGAAATCAGATTTCACTCTAACTCTTCGTTATCTTCATCCAGCTATCAACAAGCCGGCCAAGGTCTCAAGACGCAAGTTCTGTCATGACTTCCTAGAAACTATGGAGAACGTAAAAGAGAAATGCCTCGCGTCTTGTTTAAAGTAAACTGGTGTGTGAAGTAAACTATTCAATGTAAGGCCAGATTCCATCTGCAGAATAAACTGAGTGTAGTTTTTTATTTTTTCCGCTATTCACTAACACATATCTCACATCTCAAACAGTCTAACTTTACGCATATCAAAATAGAAAAAAAAAAGCAATGAGTCATGTTGCGGTTTCTTCCTGTAGAGCTTTTAATACATCCCTTGTCTCCCCTCCCACTAATGATAAGCATCCTTCTTTAGTGAGCTCCCCTTCAGGAGACCCAGGAAGTTGGCGAGTCTGCATATGACGTTTGGACAAAGGGCAAAATTCATCTCACGTTTCTTATAATTCTTAACATACCCTTTAGAAAAATACATCGTAGCATTAACATGTTGCGGTTTCTTTATTGTAGCAGACTTTTTGTAAATTGTTCTCAATTTGCAAAATGTAGAGTAGTTTCCGCAGTAAAAAAGAACCGTCGCTAAAATAAAACGCCCCAATACTTTTTATGCTACATGATGGCAAAAAATTTCTTGTCTGCAGTTAATGCTAATATTTTAACCTATAAACGTAAAAACGACTCATAGCGGACGTACTGTGAGGATTCGAGTAAGCGCCCGAGGTGCTTATTTACTATTGGTACCTCGCGGGAGGGCGCTTATTCGAAACAGGGCATTTATAAGAGACAAGGCGCTTCATTCTTTTTTGAAAAACAGCAGAGTGCGCGAAACAAGGCTTTGATTTATTACATGAAAAGGATCACGAAGACTGGAAAATGGACTCGTTGTCCCTGGATCCTCATTAGCTAGATCATTCGTTTAGAGGAATTGTGTAGTCACGTGGACATTCAAGTTGAGTGACTGAGACGAAGAGCACTCTTTTTGTAGAGAGGCTTTAAGTGAGCAATTAAAGGAAAATGGGCCACGGTTGATCTTAATGTGCATGTACCCTAACAATGCTAACACTGAAACAGAATAGGGGCGCTAATTGGGATATAGACGCCTATTGGCAAAGAGGCATCTTTTGGAAGGAGGGTGCTTTTTTCGATAGGGGCGCTTATTAGAATGGGGGTGCTTATCGACATCAACAAATTCGAGGGGGCGCTTATTAGAACGAGGGTTCTAAATCGAATTATTACTGAAATAATAACTGTAATGCAAAACGTTTTAATGATAACCACGAAAAAGGGAAAATGTCACTTCCTTGCCAACAGTAATGCGGTTTCACAAGAACTTAAGTGTCCAAGCATAACATTCACAAGAATTTTGACACGTTATATCATTTGCTCATAGGAACGCTTATAGTGCGTATGAATGAATCAACTATGTGTAGTAAGAAATGAACACCAAGGGTTTGATCTAAGCTATCCGATGGTGTGCTATGCTCGCCTACGTTACCAAATTTAGCTTTAAAGAATATCAGATTTTGCCCAATTTTTTTTCTAGTTAAAAACTAAAATTTTCTACCAAAATTTTTTCTTCATGTCACGTACCATGACCAAATGTGTGTTACGCATTCTGCGCTCGCTCGCAAGACGACAATAATATAATTACGTTTTCTATACAATTATTTGAATGGAACAGCAAGTGAGGAATTATCTCCTAAATTGCGTGGTACTAAGAAAAAAAATTCAAGGGAAACTTCCGTAGCCTAGTCACAAAAAAAAAAACAAAAAACAGAACTTACTTAACTCAATTTTTCCTTTAAATTCGTTCTTCTGCGGCGAGCGTAGCCTTCGCTTGGTGCAGTCTCGATTAAGACTTGTGTAGACTTTAGGCTACCTTTTCCTCCCAGAAGCCACAATATTATGCAACCTTTGACAACTGTAAAATAAGAAAGCAGGGGTTGGTAAGTGACAATTACTGGTGTATTCTGGCGCCATTGCCTTCAGCACATGGCGCATGCAGTCAATGATCAAGAAAAGGCTAACATCTAGACAACCTACTTGGATCGAGAACGAAGATAAAAGACTGTTAAAACGCACTTTCCATTCAACTGAAATCAAATTAAATTTCATTCACGACAGTAACTACAGCAAGATTTCAAATAGAAACCAAAAGCGTCGTCTGCTGAAATTTTCAAAAGCTCTTTACCATAGTCACAATAGTGCACTTAGGGAATTTTCTCGATGAAAATTTAGGAAAATCAATCAGAGAAAAAAAGACAGATCAAGCTGAATTCGTCTTTTTCGTATTTATGCTCTTTCTTCTCGCTTCTCGACATGCTAACATTTCATTTGTCACTTCCTGTGGCACGGTAGAGCACGTACGATTTGGTTATCTGGGTCATAGATACGTAAACTGTATCAGTTTGACTAAAAACTTTCTTAGTGGCACACCAAAACAATGGCAGACAGATACTGACCGCGGAGTCAAAAATAGCCGTGAGTTTCGCCGGTCGCCTAATCGAAAGGAGATCTTGGGTTGATGGACAGATGGAATACTGATAAACAAACTAGCAATCTTCCTGTTGTTAAATAAATGTGGGAATCTATTACGACATACTGTTTTTCCTTCTTCTTACGCAATAACGATAGCTAGCGTGTAAGAGTTTCTATCCTTTTTAGCTTCCGCAAAGATGGTACTAGCAGATAGCAAAGTGAGTTGGTAGAGTATATATCAAATATGCAATACATACCAGAAAACACAGTCAGCCATTAAGCACTCGGAACTTCAAGTACTAACTCAAGTCAAGTGCATGACCATAATATCTTACAACTACATGACATCTGCAACTAACCGCAAACGATCAAAGTGCTAAATTACGTCAAAATTGTGCTATCAAAGTCTGTGCTGTTTACGTATAAACAAACACGAAACGTAATACGTTATTGAATGGCCGACCGCCGATGGCGTCGACTACGTTTTGTTCTCTGTTTGCACAATGCTTTCACCTTGGTGGTTTCAACGCCCACTGGTCAAGAGACACTGCAAAAACTGCTCCAGGCTTTCAGGCGAGCGTCATGATTATCGTGCTGCATTAAAAGTGCACTTGGAGCGTGTAACGTGGGTTGACCACAAAATGAGCCTATGTTCTTCCTGGCGCCTCAAGCAAATCTCAAAATCCGCTGTTTTCGTGCTCTGCATTCACAAAGTGCATTCTACGATATAAATAAATTGTAAATGCGCTCAGCAATTTCCCGAGAGCCATTATGTCAACTGTAGAAAATTCTGGCATGTGATCAATATGTTGATTAATGGTTGTCAAGTCAGTCGAGGAAATAGTTGAATTTTTAATTTTTTTGTTCACTCTAAGGGCTGGTCATTACAACAAAGTTTTACATAACCGCTTCCGTAGCCATCTTCTTGCAGGAAGACTTGAAGGGAGCACGTTAATGTAATTAAGAAAAAGGCCGCTTATACAAGAAGTATTAAGTATGACGAGTCCAATGCCGAGGAGAGGCATAAAAATTATGAAACTCAGTCATGCTAATACGTCAGTCATTACTTTCTTATTTCAAAATGTTTGCTCTGCCATAAAACCACCAAGAATACCTGAGTCAAAGTTGTCTTTTGGAATAAATCTTTAAATAATTACAGCAAAACAATCCAGCGGAGACATGAACTGAAATCAAAGCATTAAATATTTTTGTCTTCTTGAATTTTTAACTGTATAAGAACTGTACGCAACATCATGAGTAAAACCAGTAGTCATTGTATAATTAATTTTTACCAACTAAAGCAAGCCAAAAGTTCAGTAATAATAGCTCACAAGTTACCGTTAGAACAATGCTACAATGATAATATAAAAAGAATGGACAACCGGAAATATTAACGAGTTTTCTACCACGTGGAAATCAAGCAGCGTAAAAACTCACTCAACTCACTTTTCGAACAGGTGAAAAGGTTTTGAAGGTGAAAGATTAATGTCGGAATCAGACATTTACAAGTGCAGAAAGCGTTGTCTAGATGTAGACTTATACACCATACTTTTGCCTCATTAGCTAGTCCAATTTGTTCCATTTGACCATGGTGAAGTTTGTGTATTCCTAAGACTAGAATTACGACGTCATTTTTTGTACATGTTTGGCAGGTGCACTTCCTTCAACTGTAGAGAGCTGCGATCAAAGACTTGGGTTGCACAGAGCCATCCGCTAGTTCATAACACAAATTCAGTTTTATATGGAACTCAAAACTTAACCATCCTTCTCTGTGTATCTCCACACTAGAAGGGAATCGACACTGTCTATCCAAAGTCCGGCATATGATTAATATCCTGATTAATGGTTGTCAAGTCAGTCGAGGAAATAATTGAATTTTAATTTTTTTTTCACTCCAGGGGTTGGTCATCACAACAAAGTCTACATATTTTGCTTCAAGGGCCATCTTCAATACAGCCAAGCGTTTTAGCCGAACGTTGATTTTTTCGAAAACTGGCAAGAAGACTTGAAGGGAGCACCTCATTATAATTTAGAAAAAGGCCGCTTATACAAGAAGTATTAAGTATGACGAGTCCAATGCCAAGGAGAGGCATAAAAATTATGAAACCCGTGCTAAACGTCAGTCATTACTTTCTTATTTCAAAATGTTTGCTCTGCCATAAAACCACCAAGAATACCTGAGTCGAGGATGTCTTTTGAAATAAATCTTCAAATAACTATAGAAAAACAATCCAGCGGAAAGACATGAACTGAAATCAAAGCATTAAATATTTTTGTCCTCTTGATTTTTTAACTGTATAAGTACTGTACGCAAGATGATGAGTCAAACCAGTTGGGATTGTATAATTAATTTTTACCAACTAGAGCAAGCCAAAAGTTTAGTAATAATAGCTCATAAGTCACCATTTGAACAATGCTACAATGATAATATAAAAAGAATGGACAACCGGAAATATCAACGAGTTTTCTACCACGTGGAAATCAAGCAGCGTAAAAACTCACTCAACTCACTTTTAAAAAAGGTGAAAAGGTTCTGAAGGTGAAAGAGTAATATCGGAACCAGACATTTACAAGTGCAGAAAGCATTGTCTAGGTATAGACATATACACCATAGGTTTCCTCATTAGCTAGTCCAATTTGTTCCATACGACCATGGTGAAGTTTGTGTATTTCCTAAGACTAGTATTACGACGTCATTTTTTTGTACATGTTTGGCAGGTGCACCTCGTTCAACTGTAGAGAGCTGCGATCAAAGACTTCGGTTGCATAGAGTCATCCGCTAGTTCATAACACAAATTCAGTTTTATATGGACCACAAAACTTAACCATCCTTCTCGGTATATCTCCACACTAGAAGGGAATCGACACTGTCTATCCAAAGTCTGGCATTTGATTGATATGCTGATTAATGGTTGTCGAGTCAGTCGAGGAAATAGTTGAATTTTAATTTTTGTTTCACTCCAGGGGTTGGTGATCACAACAAAGTACATATCGCTTCCGTAAAAACGATTCGATTTGAAAATTTAACGAAATACGCTATGGGGAAACTAAAAACTGTTAATATCAAAGAATTAATTCAAAGTGAATCTATGCTCACTTCAAAGTTGTCAGTTGGTATTCAGTAGAGTGATTGCATTTGCGACTTGATGAAGAAACTATCCTCTAGGTGTGGTGATACACCATTTTTTCTTGCGCACGAAGGACACCTTGAGTTCATATTAAAGACACAAAATGGAAACCTTTATTGATTGACACGGATTGGAATTTTTACGAAACTAATACCCGCTAATTCAGCTAAAAAATATATCATCCTAAAGTAGCGAGAATCCAAGAAATTCATCCTCTTGTCGGTGGCAATTCTGCTTAAAATACCAACGGGATAGCTTCCTTCCTCAAAAGGAACTGCTGAAAATACCTCTGGAAAAAAGTGTGCCTGATGAACGGAAATTTCGATTGACAAATTGCTTTTAGAACAACCCATACAGCATGAAGCACTTAGCGCCTAATTACTCGGGAGAAGAAAACGACCAGCCTTAGGATAAAATCGCAGTATCAATTTATAATATCTAGCCATAAAAGCAACTGTGTTGGTATCATTTGCAAGCTCTACATATCCACTCTCTTCAATATGGGATTGCAAAAAAAGCTCTTTCATCATAGTTAAATTTTTTTTTTACGTTCATTTTGCATGATTTCGTTTGTAGCCATGATATCACACCCCTCTTGGATTATCGCGGCTTCATTCCCAGCGTGATTTTGTTTTCTAATTTGAAAAGAAAGAGTCACATATGAATTAAGATAAAGACAGAAAGTAAACTTCTCCCTAAGAAATCAAGTTTTACAGCCGACAATTCACAGAACTAATCAGACAATTCGATTAAAAAAATCTTATTTAAAAAATCGAAAACGAAATTAAATGAAAAATTGGGCTGTTATGTTTGGTGTTTAATCACTTAGATGCCATCAGCCCAATATTAAATCGCCTTTATTAATTTTCGGAAAGCAGTTTAAACGTCAATTTGACGAATATGAGTTCTACTTTAGGAAAAATTTCTCAAAAGTAACTCAAATGTATCATTTTCTTCCCGACATCTGACATAATCTTGTACAATAGCAACTTCTACGTTTAATTATATCGGTGAAGTGGATCCTTGAATTGTTATCCAATTTTTAGTCAATCCTATTTCCTCGCCGACAAAAACAAACAAAACGTTCCAGGAAATGACTATTAACTTTCCTGTACATCTTTGAAAAATCGAGATATCGCCCATGGCAGTTTCAAGGTTTTGCGTAGTCATATAAAAAACGATAGGAAAGTGAAATTGCTTCAGTTTGTCTTTCATTTCAAACGCTTTTTCAATGTTTTTACGTATCATTATGTATTTTTTATTGAATGCACGAAAATCAGTTCTTGTCTTAATTTAGTTTGGAAAACGCGAGAATCATTCAAACAAACAACTATAGAGATAATTAAAAACGATTTTACTCGCTCACATGAGCAGGCCTCTAAAACGTAATTTTATGAAATGAAGGGGCACTTAAGCATTACGTAGCAACACTAAAGGGTTTAGTTACGCATGTTACTAAATTTTCAAAGAGCAGTAAATGATTTCCACTGCGTCAGTGAAGAAGCATTTAGAATAAATCTCCCCTCTGTATTGATAATGTCAGTGGCTTGTTGAGTCACGTAATGACATATTGTGTGTCCTACAAATCCAAATAAATTTTATTGGTCCACGGTAATTGACCTCATTTACTACTCAAATGGTGCAAAGTACTATTGAATTTCGTGTAAAGAAACTAATTTATTCGAAATCACATCTAAAGTCAGTTAAACTAAATTTAGGAAGGAATAAAACTTAAGTCACCCAAATCTTCCAAAAAAAGTTCCGGTATTTTTAAGCCCTTCCTTCGTGAAGTAGGCTTTGTAAGTAGACCGCAATTCAATATAGCGCTTTAATTCATCGAATCGTCTTTAAAAAAACCTCTCCTGAAATACAGCTTCCTTCCGTCTTTTAAGTGGCTTTATGTATTGAAGGATATGATTAAAAATACCGCCAACGGCAAATATGAGAAGTTTATTCTTATATTGGGATTCTCATCAACTTATAAGCGCATTTCATCGAATAAATAATAGACGTCCATTCAAGTTGACCCAAATGATGGGCTTAAAGTTTGTCTTTGAACTCTGCTCGAACAGCGCCTAAATAATCATCATCTCATCAAATTTTTCGCTCTTCTCTGTGTGTTATAATGAAAGTGAAGGATAAAATGGGCAAGAAAATGTCAGTTATGTCTTTCCGTCGACCACAAGGCCAGAATCCGTGTGCTTTCGAGTACAGCCAACATAGATGCGTCGGTGTCAACCTTAGCTATAATTATAAAGCCCTTGTTGGGAATCTGATTCCACTGATATATCAAGAAAACAGGTATTAAGCCAAATTTAAATCATCCTCCCTGAAATCATCTGGCTCCATCAGTTACCCCCCCTCCCCCCAAAAAAAAATTGTTGTACTTTCCAATGTTTCATACACGGCTTAGGTAAAAAATGGAACAAATCATGCTCTAGAAAGTGATTATATTAACATCTGTTTACTAACTGACACGCTTGTCGCCCAAAATATCTATATTTGCAAATTAAGAGCCAAATCGGTCAATTTCTTGACAAAAAACGAATAGTTACAATCCAATCGAGTAAAATGTGAAACACAAGCTAAACTCGATTGATTAAATCCAGTTTACGCTTAAGAAGCTTGGCAACTTTAGCTTACCGCTCTAATGGAGATGAACTTAAATTTAGGAGCTATTCGTGGAAAAAAGTTTTTTTTTTTTTAAACAATTTTCGAGGAAATATCGTCAATGTATCCGATAGCAATTCAATGAAAGGAAAGCAATTTCAACGCTACTAATTTTTTTCGTTAATTTGGCGTTCATCAGCTGTTTTTCAAAAGCTTCAGAAACATACGTTCCTTTTGCGTTGTAAATAAACCCCAGTCTTTGCGTATAAATGACATCGATCGGTTTCTTTATTGCGGCATTGGAATATCGAATGAAAAGAAATATATATAACAAATTTTTGTATTTTATATATGCATATATAAAGCCAGCGGATTAAATTTTCGGTTATTCAAAATGGGTAGAGTGAGACTTTTGACTCGTCAAAAATATTGGTTCTTCTGGTATTTAGATGTCATTACTATCCGATCGATGCAATGATTCTATCAGAAAATAATAGTGAATTATACACTTGCAAATTGAATGACTGAAATCGTATAGGGTCGTAATTTATTCCCTAAGAGATTACCTCCTCCTTTTTGGTGCAATACACCCCGATCCTGAGAGAAAGTAAACACCAAAACCCTCATTCGCCTGCAAGGATAACAGGGTTTTCCTTCGAGGACAAGGCTGACATGATTACGGAATATTCTTCGTTTTGCGGCGCACACGGAAGTGAAAGGCGAGTTTACAAAAAATAAAAAAGAACGAAAATTAAAACAAAAAAATCGATTTCGTTTATGAAGGATTGAAATCTTCAGCTAGAAAAGATAACCTCTCAAAACCTCAAGTTTACTAACAAAATCACTAACTTACCAATTAGGCCTAGAAAAAACTCGTTGCATATACGAAATTTCCTTTACCTCCTGCTCGTCTCCGAAGATAAGGTTTTTTTCCACAACATCCAAACGAAAACTAGCTATTTCGTCTCTTTCTTGCAGCTGCCAACTGAACTATTTTAGCAAAACATAGCAGCTTAAAAGAGTCGTCACTCGATGTCACTCTCTAATCCATCAAAGCTTTCAAAACACCCAAAGAAAAGCGCTATTTAGCTTGGCTGTCAATCAAAGAGATTGCACCAATCACAGGATATAGACTACTAAAGATGTACCACAAAATCAATATTATTTCCCAAAAAAATGGACACCACGAGTCACGAACAAGATGTACTCATTTTCGAAAGAACCACCAGTCCTTAAACCTACTTCTCATTATCGATCGATCGTTAAATTGCTGGTTATTGTATTGCTTTCTCCGACCAATCAATTAACGTTTCTTGAATTTAATTTTTAAGCTCTTACACTGCACTTACTAATCAAGGTCCACTCAAACTCTTTCATGAGAATAAAACTAACTTGAGAGGTATATTGGAAGTAGAAGGAAAAAAATTAAATATCAAAAAGAAATCAATGATTCTATTTTTTCCCGTGGGACAAGTTCTCCTTCAAAAATAAATAAAAACTTATGGTTGCGCAAGTGGACATTAACGATTTAGAATTTAACCACAACTGACCACAGAGACAAATAAACAAGCGACAGATAGTTATGTTTTGCTAAAGTGCAAATTTTTTTTAAGACAACGCGGTTTTTCCTTAGCTTTTAATAAGCGATTTTGTCAAGTGCAGTCATTCACAGGGTTAATTTGTAACCGAGTAGAGAGTAATTTATTCGTAAGATAGTAGTTAAGACAAGCAAAGTAATGATCCGCGCAGGTGGACTGCAATTTCCACTGCCGAAACTTCAAGAATCCTGAAAAAGATCAGTTCTCAACACATTTCAAACCCGGGCCTCCCAGATACCAGTTGGATGTTACTACCAATTTAGCTACGAAGCCACCACCCGTTGGGAGCGAGGCAAATTTCAGAAGGTTCATCTTTCCCGTAAAGGAATCTGAACACAATTTTTACGAAAATAAAATTTGCTTCAATAAAAAAATTGCTTAGTAGTTACTTCATCGCACTACGAGTTTTGTCGCTAAGAAAAGTCATACTTTGTTAACTTCTAGCAGATGATGCTAAATCGGTCTAAAATTCAGCATAATCAAGTGTGGATTCAGACGCCTCAAATAGCGTTTGCAGCGACGCACACCTCACACATTCCACAATAGTCCTTGTTTAGGGTGATAAATGTTTTGTCTTACACAGAGTGCAAGTGCTAATCCTAAAATCGCATCAGCGAGCTTTAAGTTAAACGTGAAGCAAAAGTTCGATACAATAATAACTAACGAGCTGATCTGATCTAAAACAGTTCAATTTTCTCATGGTTGTCTGTCTTCCCCTCGCAGAAAAGCAGTGACTAGTACCTCCAACTGATAGTTACTGGGTGCTAGTGCTAGGAACGTACCCCAACGAATGGTACCGAGCCGAAAACAGGTCTTGAAAAGCAGCTTTCGTCGCATACTAAGGACCTGACCAGACACGACCCCATTTCATTTCACTATTCATTTCTTTATTTCCTTTCATAACTGTTTTTTTTTTCGCCACCAATTTGGTGCAGCAAAATTAAATGTGGTGTTTGGGACAGCTGCTGTTCTTTCGCTGTGTCAAGTCTTATCTTATTTAGTATATATAGCATGGCAGATAAGGCGGACAGCATTGAGAACACGCCTTGAAACTAAAATTGGACGAATCTTCTGTCGTTGAACGTCACCCCCTCTAAAAAGAGATCCACCCAGCATGCTGCACTATGAAATAAATTTTCACATAAGATCCACTTGTTTATTGCTTGAAAAAAATTTTTCACATAAGGTCCACTTGTTTATTGCTTGAAAAAAATTTCAATTAGTCAGAATTATGCCGCAAGCTCTGAACTTGGTAGACTAAACAAGTTAAAAGCCTTTACTATAGTAACGTAATTGATTTTGGTACATTTACTAATCAATAAATTTTTTGAACGCTTAGCGTCTTTTTCCTTTTTTTAGGGGGATTGCTTTTCAATGCCCTATCATGGCTTGAGTAGGATTAATCGTTAGTTTTGACTTACCATCGCCCTTGTAAATGACGTCGAGTGCGGTTTAATGCTCTGACAAGCTATAAGCTTTCGCTTCAAGGCATATCGTGCTGCTTCTCTCGTACAGTTTCCATCATTGACAAACAAATAAGCTCTAACTTTAGGAAGTCATTTACTCAAGGAAGTCATCGACCACCTAATCGCTTCAAGCGCTAAAGAGCAGAAAGACGTTTACGGTATCCTCAGGTTTAAAATAAATATGTCGATCCAAACAATTTGAAGGAAAAAAACAGTGAATTGACATAGTAAAGGTGCCTCTTTAGCACTCTGCTGGGGTGTCGGATCGCCAATCCTAAGAACCCAAGATCCATACTCCAATGGAGTTCGAGATTTTTTCTTTCCTCAAGCTTGTATTAAAACCACGGAGTACATCTTAAGTTTATTATGTCACACCAAACCCTTGATTCATATACTGACGTCAGAAAATTTAAGTGCAATCGAATTGACACGAGGAGTGTTCCCATGACATGTCGAAGGAACAGACGCTTTTCTTCAAGGTCTATAATGTTCCTTTGTCTTCAAGAATATTACAATAGCGTCTTGGAAACCAAAGGAAACGAAATATCTTTTAAGAAGTTACATTAAAAGCCGTTCAATTACTGGTTATAGATAATGTAATAATGACGAAAAAGCGCCTGAAAAAATAACTGATCACTATCACGTGGTTGAAATCACTTTCGATTATACATACCATACTGTGCTATACATTTATTTAGCCCTAGATGATTGAAACGCAGTACAGAAATTCCATGAACAGTACATCGCCGCATCAATACCTACTTTTTCTTAGCCATGAATATTAACAAATTCATAGAAATGGGGATGTCATCATCTCTATTTGCGTGTTGAAGAATTCCTTTGTCTAGTTCGTCAATTCCTTCTTCGATTTCCCCGTCACTCAGCTCCCTTAAGGTACTATGGAAGCGTCCTCGCAGCATGTCGTACCACTTGGATTTCTTAACCATGAAAGCTAACTGCTCTACTGAAACTTCAACTTCAAAATTAGCTGATCGAAGGAAAGCAGAAGTACCTTCCTTTCTGCCGGAAACGAAAGAGGCGAAACGATTCTTTGCTTTCTTGAACAAAGGGAAAGACACGTACTCGCCAATTTGCGCGATCATAAAGACACCATCAGGCGTTAAACACGATTCTACGCCCTTGTAAACTTTAACTGGATCACTAAAATGATGAACAGAAGCGACACACAAGGCAAAGTTGAAGCGATGCTGTTTGTCTAAATCATCCAAGAATTCTTCTGCGGTTTTTTCTATGGTAACCAAACCCTTCTTTGCCCTGGCTGCTTCTTGCATTTCTGAAGAAGGTTCTACACACCACACGGGATTCTTCAGTTTAAATGTCTCGATCATTTTCTCACCATAGGTACCTGTTCCACTGGCAAGGTCAACTACAAGATGATCAGGCTGTAAATTCAAGTATTTCATCATGATATTGAACTGAGCTTCGTGGCGTTCTTTGTAGAAGCAGTCATAGTTCTTTGCAAGAACTTTATAATGAGCTGAGAAAAACGAGAGGAACTATCAAATTATAGTTTGAATTAACATACCTCTTCATATTCCGAGGAGTGTACCCAAAACGTTCCGTTTTGCAAGAGGAAAGAGCAGTCTTCGGCAATAATAAAAAAACCCGTAAGAAAAATGATGCTATGTGTGACCTTTTGGCATACAAAGATTTTCTTCTTGGTATAACGCCATAGCATATCTGTGCCGTATGTATCTCGTTTTCTCTATGCCCCCTTTCCTTCCAAGACCGAAACCTTTGATACAACAATATCGTGCGAGAGAATACAGTTTCCTTGTTGAAACGACAAACTGCACTTTTTATCGGTTTACCGGCGTAATAATACAGTCACGCCTAGTTATAATTATAACTGTTAGACTTTTTCTTACCAGCGACTCTGTTAGCTGCATTGGCATTTTCCGAGCATATTTCAGCATATGATTCCATTGGTATCACGACCACCTATGAAAATATTTCACATCAAAGTCAAAACAGTTATTTGCTTTCAGATCTTGATCTTATTCATAGTCCTTCATTTACATCAGCACTCACTTCGATATTGGTTTAAACGTCATTTTGGAGCATGTTTATAGATGTCATGAGTTGGTCCAAGTTTTCATCAAACTCGCCGTAGGTTCTAAGCGCTAGCCTGGCACGTAGTCGCACATGAGTAAATTAAGCAAATCGAGGAAGTCAATAAATTAATTATGCGTACTCTTCCATCAGTGCCCCATGGATTCCGATGGACACGAATAGAATTCAATGGATTCCATCGGACTGATCGATTTTCTGATGGCGAGAGATCGAGTTTATAGGTTAGAGATAAGCCTCGAAAATGTTTTCCATCGGTGTCCGATGGTCATGTATAGAATCCAGTGTCTTCCATCGGAATGATCGATTTTCCGAAATCGTGTTTAGGTTTTACGGCCGGCCCCAAATTTGTATTACATCAGAGTCCAAAGGATTCCGATGTTAACGAACAAGATCCTGTATCAAAAAGGTGTCCATGGAAATGATCGATTTTCCGATGCTAGGAGACCTTAAAAAGAAAATAGTCTTTAGGTTATAGGTAAGCCTAAAAATTTTTTTCCATTGGTGTTTAATGGTCACGTAAAGAATCCACTGTTTTCCATCAGAATGACCGATTTTGCAATGGTGAGAGATTTAGGAAAAATCGTGTTTAGGTCGAAGGTAGGCGTGGAAAATGTTCTCCATCTGAGTCCGATGGAGTCCAATGGACGCGAATAGAATCCAGTGTTTCCATTGGAATGACCGGAATTCCATGAAATTGACCGACTGAAGAAGACACACGTTTGTCGTGGATTTTTTTTGTTTTTGTTTCTGTTTTTTTTTCCCATTCATTTTACGCATACAGCACATGTCTGTGCAAAATGCTGTTTCGCCATATGGGTCGAAGCACAAGATATTTTTTACGTGATCCGCCCTTGAAATGAGTTGTTTTGCTTCATGGCCTTAAAGCGAGACATATTTCACGTATGCTGTATACTATTCGTTTGTGTTAAGGAGGCTCCGTAGGATTTTTTGAACGCGCAAAATCTGGTTGCGAACATGCGCGAGTTTTAAAAGTGTCAACATGCAAAACGAAGATGGCGGCTCGATACGATTGGTATCTGAGAAGGTGCGCTAAAATCAGTTTAACTCAATACAGTTTGTATGTGATGGAATCTAGGGCTTCCAGCAGCTGTACCCGTAATATTCATAGGCCTTCTATATCTGAAAAAGAGGTCAACGAAAAGAAAACACCGTGGGAAAGATTGCTAAAGGGCTACAGATTCGAAAGTTTACGTACGCTCAGATATAGATCTTGGCGAAGTTCTATTCCATTACGTAATGTTTTGCGAGAAAGAAAAATAGAGATCTTTCGAGCGAGATCTATCGCGTTTCCTTTAGTGAAATTTCTTAAGATTTGCTGGATCGTTAAATATATTTGTGCCCTTCCCAGTGCCTGTTGATAAAAAAAATTCATAGGACCAAATTTGAAATAGACGAAAAAAATACAAAATTGCAAATAAGCGACGAAACTGTCCCGGTAACCCTTATTTTTTCGGCTTTTAAATGATCGGCAGGACAAATTTCACAATCCAGATTATCACCGGCGAGCGCCTCCCTTCGTGGAGCCCTAGCTTAATAACGAAAATTATTTTGTTAATATTTACTACAGTAAACGATAGTCCGAACGTTGCTCATCGCCTTTTGATGGCTTTTAGTGACCTAAAAAAGCGAAAACATAAAAATTTTCTAAAAAAAAAACGCTGGCTGAAATGCTATACCACACACCTTTAAGAACATGTTTTGAACGTTTTCAAGCTCAAATCACAAAAAAGAACAAGAAAGTTCAGATTTAGGCCCAAAGTTAGACGTTTTTGTGAAAAAAAAGAAAGGGTAAATGTTTACCTGCGAAGAAAAAAAATCACTAAGATTACTTATTAAATGCGTTTTAGGTTTTGCTCTATAGCGGTTTCGTCATGCTTGACCATTTGCAAAGCCTTCATATGGATGCCTTGAATAATGCGGCGACTTCAACATAACATTAATTCATATTAAAATATATTTCATTTCGTTTCGGTATTAGTGGCAAACATTATTTCATGTACAACCGAAGAGTTACGTTAGATAGGAAAGCGCGCGTAATAAATGCTAATGAACAGCACTTTACTTGCAACTTCATTCGGTTACATTGATCTGATTGTTAATTATCCGGCTTTCCTTTACACAAAAACATTGAACACAATATTCCCTATTTCTAACAGTATGGCGTCGTTTCGTTCCATTAATAGTAGCAAGCATCATTTCCTGTACAACTAAACTGTCACAAGGGTTTTCAGCGACTAGGTCGGTGAGAACTTAAGACGTATAAAGCTTTACCAGCTCTATATCAAACCGTGCCACAAAGACTCACCTGACAATGGATGTATGAATGCGGTATCTATTATATGGCTGCCGGCAGCACGTATTGTTAACTCAAACTAAATAGATATTCTTGAGTCCATTAGGATGCCGTGTGAACTTCTTTCACAATGACGCGCGTGAATATTTTCCGTTTATGTTTCTGCTCTGCATGAACAAGCTTCTGTGCAATATCAGGAAAACGTGTTTAATGAGCCGATTGCTCACTTTTGTATATATCAAAGGAGCTTAGAAAGAAGAGTACGACATTATCGTATTAATTATCACTATTACTGAATATGTGATCGTGAAGATAGGCGGGCAGTCACAAAGCGCATGAGAAGATTGAGTTGAAATTGCCATTTGTTCAGTCATTGTATTGGAATTTTTTTGTACTTAATGAATTTTTTTATCTTGTATAAATAATGATTAAAATAAAGAAATAAATTCCTTCTGTTTCCTTTCTTGATATTTTAATATAATGTTCCAATTTTTAAAAAGTCAACATCTCGGTCTTGAATGAAACACTGCAAGCGAAAATGAGCTTTTCGGGCCGTAAGGTGTCTATAAAGTCACTGGGTAATTCGACAAACCGGCCCTAGGCCCTTAAAGATCATCAGTACCTAAACTTTCTCCACCTCAGAGTAAGTAAGCACTCTTATAGCTTCTTGAGCCTAAGAATGACACGCAAAGTCAACCATACTTTTCTCGTTGTTTTTGTACGTCAAATTCTTTTACGCAAAGCGGATGCCACAGGTTTCAATCAACGACCGCCAGTTATAGAGACATTATAAGTATGTCCATGAAATTATTGTAGCTTGATAATTATATATGATAGAAGGAGAATGGCCGAGGACAAAAAAAAGAGACTACTTCGGAATGAATACCAAAACCTCCCAGTTTCCCAAAAGCGTATTAATGGAGCGAGTTATCAAGAAATATTTACCGCGTAAGCTCGCATTTTTGGGTCCTTTTAGCAATTTCCGATCCAACGTATGAAATGCATGACATAAAAGTCAATAAAGGAAATTAGGAATGTAAGGTAATGTTAAACATTAGGTCTCAAATTCACTGTGGCAAAATTAAAAACTCTACTATCAGTCAGGTGACTTCCTTCAAGCTAGAAGACCTGTTTTTGGATCTGGCTTTCCTGAAAGGCAATGTCATTTAACTGAATACAGTTTCTCGACCCATTTTCTTATACGAAGGTGTGTTATTAGCAAACAAACTTTAAATGATCTAAATACGAACGAGCACGCAGAAAGCTTTCTGAAGTCATCTCGTCTTCCAGAACACTATTAATATTAAACTTTTGGATAATATGAGATAAATTTGAAACTGATCCACTGAATCTTGAAAGTCGCTTGATACGAAAAGGAAATTAACAATAATGCAAAACCATGCAAAAGCGGAGAATTAACCAAGAATTCTAAAGTGAAATGAAGAAGAAAAATTAATGATGACAAAAAATGACAGACTGGCTTTTTCACAACGTGGACTTTACCAAGAGGTTCTTGGAGAATTGTTTGTAAAAACTACAGATCAGGAGAGCTTTAAGTCAAATGATTGGGCGACAAGACCAGGACAACCAGCTCAAGTATGTCAACAATTTGCGGGTACAACCATGATGTAAAGCAAAACAGTGAAAGTTGTTTCAAAACAAAATGAAGATACTATTTTGTTAACATTCTCTATACGATTGGCTCTGATTGGACAATTGGTCATGTAAACTTGTTACTTGACCAATCATCGACTCGCGTGCGACCACATGCCATGAAGACGCATTTTCGTGTTGTTGAATGCATAAGGTAAACAACCTGTAATGAACTAGCTAACACGGAACGTAATCCCCGCTACCGTCACTTGTAAATAGTTAATCATGGGACATCTCTAAAATCGCTTAGATCATCAGTGGTCCATTCAACCAAAGTTCTTGACCAGACAAGAAGCCGCCAGCAAGACTTCCAAGTAAAGGTTAGTTAGGGTCACTTTCATTCCTTTAGGGCTACTTGCTTATAATTTCTAACAGACTAAAGATCCTGCAAGATGAAGTTAGACAAGGGGATTCTAGTTATTCATAGTTTGTCAATTCATTCGTTTTATCTTCTTTATCTTCTTAAGACACAAATGCAATTTTGATCATGGAGGGTCACTTTGAAAATCTAAGGACTGAAATTCTGTTCTTGTGTTTCAAAAAAAGAAAAGAAAAGATCTTTAATTCTTTTAATGGATTGAGGTTTTGCCTTGTAGGTGTAACAAGTTATTAAAAGTTGGAGAAAACTGACACGTCTCTTCGCACCTAACAAAAGTAAACGAAATAAGCATATCGCACAATTAATTCAAGCCGTTGACGAGCGAACGTTCCTCTTAAGTTTGAGCCACTTCTTAAGAGTCCTTCAACATCACCTCTCATCATAAATTCTGTCTGGAATACTAACACATTTTCTATAAATCCAACTTGATTGATAATGAGGTGCGTTGATAAAAAATGCATCATGAGAAGGGAATAACTTTGCAAATTGCGTTAACGTTTGTTTTCTCTTGGTAGATCTACGAGTCCGAAGACAATTACCTATCCAACAAAATGAAGTACGTTGTTCTGTTGTGCCTTCTCTTTGGCATCGTTATGTCACTGGGAGCTCCAGCCCCAGGTAAAGAAACCTTATAAAGTTGTCTCACCAAGTTTCTTTAATCTTAATGACGAGATAAAAACTCTTTAGTGTTCTTAACTCTGATTCATTGACGCTGACGCCTTCCAATGGTTAATTAGTAAATTTCATTGCCGATGCTTGAAAAGATTCCATTATAGACAAGTTAGTTGCTAGTTCTTAAATGTTTCATACATCAGAGAACACGATAGCAGCTTTAACAAAGTCAGTGAAGGACGTTTTATTGACATCAATTTACGGGAAGCAAGAAATATTAGAAATTGCTGCTTTTGAACCGTTACTTTTATTTGAATAATAACAGGAAATTTTTGTCGATAATTTTTCATATCAAATTCCCACCCGAAGTTTAAAACGTAGTTATGATTACGACAATCACAGGAATAGTTTTTCGTTTGTATCATTTTTAAAAACAGTAACTTGAAAACTGATCCTAATCACTTTCGGTTGATAATCCGTTGTGAGTAAGAACAAGTAGAAAAAGTGAGGTTTGAATATTAGGCTTTACATCTTTACCACTTGACCTTTAAGGAAATACCGCAACATTTATTTCCGTTGCACTATTTAATCATAACTACGGAAGTTTTCGTTAATTTCCAAACCATGTTCAGGCTGTGCAAGATAGAGAACAGGCCACTAATGTTAATTTTCTACCCAAGGTTAGGGAAGACATTTGGTGACCTTCAACCATATTACACATCTTAGTACTCAATATCCGATCAAAACCATTGTTTATTTCTAAACACTGCGTTTTTAACGCCAGCGTTCCATTTAAAGACTCGTGTTTACGATATCACAACAGGTTGAGAAGAAGTACTTGAATGATTAAGTAGGTTCCCCGCTAAAAAGTTTACAACAAGCATATCACTCGTTCAACAGGTCACTTGACACAGTTACACAATCGTACAACAAACTGGTATAAACAAAAACTCTGCGTCCATGCCTTCACGTCGACATTTTAAATTATCAAATTCCAATCATAAAGAGCAAATATCGAAGGCAAATTGGATCCCCCTTTACGCAATAAGCATTTGTCAAAGTTCTCAATTACATTTACGAAGCATTGGCCTTACGACCCAGCTTTTGAATCGGAAGATTGCTTCGTCATTGTTATCAAAGGAAATTCGTTTTATTTGCATTGCCCTATGCAACCGAACACAACAATTTTCCAAATACTGTTTGACGTTTTTTTCTAGGATAGGATTTCAAAACATTTCGAAAATTTTGTAAGTCACGAGCCTCTGGCTCGTGATTCAAAAACTTTTCAATCTCATGTTTGCCAACATCCATAAATGAAATTAAAATAGTTACAAAGATTGTAGCTACGACAATGGGGAGAGAGAACGGAAGTGAAAAAAAGAAAGACTTGCCTGAAGTGGCAGGGATAGAAGACCCTTCATAGAGGAATATCACCAACAAATTAAAAGACGAATTTCATTCGGAGGTGGAAGCCGGTGAAATTGAGATTGGCCATTTAAACAGATAGCTACCTGAACCTTCTCAAAACACGGTTTCTCTGACACTATACAAAACTGATGGTAATTTAATCAAATAGATGTAACATACAATGCAATAAGTGTTACAATTGCTGTGCGTGTACAAAATGAGAATTCCTCACGTTTACCTCTCTAAATCGCAGAGGCAGAGGAAAAGAAAGAAGAAAAGGAGGACGACACTGGTGATTTCGATGACGATGTTGCAGATGATGCCGACGACTCCGACGACTCCGACGATGAAGACGACGAGGATGACGGTGAGGACAGCAGCGAGGGAGATGATATGGATGAAGAGAAGAGGGACGAAATCCCCAAAGAGAACGATGAAGCCAAGGAGGACAACCCTGATGCTCCTGAGAAGGAAGACGAGAAGGTGAACGATAAAGAAACTGAAGAGAAAGATGCCGATAAGGAGGAGGACAAGAAAGCTGATAAAGAGGACAAGGAGATCGAAAAGGACGATAAGAAAGACGATGATGAAGATGAAGATGAACTAGCTGATGATCTGGATGATGAGGATGACGAAGATGATGAAGATGATGAAGATGATGAAGACGATGAAGATGATGGAGATGATAGTGATGATGGAGATGATGGTGAAGACGAGGAGGATGAGGAAGACAGCGAGGACAGCAGCGAGGGAGGAAAGAAGGACGACGAAAAGAAAAAGGAAGTCAAGAAGGAGGACGAGAAGCCCGAGAAGGAGGAAAAGAAGGAAGAAAAAAAGGAGGATGCCACCAAGAAAGCCGACGATGATGATGACGATGACGATGATGACGACGACGATGACGATGATGACGATGACGACGATGAAAAGAAAGACGACAAGAAGCCAGTAGAGAAGAAGACCGAAGAGAAGACAGCAGATGTCCCAAAGAAGGAGAAGAAGACACAGTAAAAAGCTACATTGGCAGCTTCTTCTAACTCGACATACTTAACCAATCAAACAGCTACACTGTCACATCACACAACAAACTTTGTCAACAGTTGACAAAACACAGATGACTACGATTACACAAAGAACTTTCACTTCAATCATTCCAGAATGATATTTTATAGATGAACATTAGTTTACAAAAGTAACCATAACGTCGTTTAAAATAACTTCATCCAAGGAACATGTGTGGAAATGTGCTGAGGAGAGGTTCAATAACTCTTACGTGATTCAAATTATGGATCGACTCGCTGGGAGTAATGTACCCGTGAATAAGAGGGCTATATAATAAAGAGTTATTTTTTGAATTGACATGCACAATTGAGCAATATTGCGATAACTGTACCACGCATATGCCTTGCAGCTGCTTGCTTAAAAATCCCTTCACAGCCTTAGTTTTTAAAGCCCGCCTTGGTACACCAAATCAGTAACATTTAGCAAGACAAATTCCAAGGTCATAATGACCAGATATTTCCCTATATGATATGTGGTCAGGTTTTTTCCCTTATCAGAGTGTGTTTGTTATCCAGGGGTTAGTCAGTATCTTTAAAATGCGGTCCTCCTCTGAAGCAATTCAGCCACGTTTCAAATAACACAATGAGTTCTACACAGATCATGATTGGTTTTCATCCATGATTATATGAGGAAAGACATAAAAATAGGATCATGAGGAGAAATATTTGAATTGTCATTCCCAACATGCCCAAGATTCCATGATTCCACCGTGCATCACTTACAGATTATAAAAGACATACAAATGTGATATGAAAATCATTTTGAGGTCATATTCGGTTATCATGGTTTAAACAAACAGAATCATTGCCACCTTTTTAAAATAATCAGAATGTCAACGGTACTGGTCCAAGCAACCTTACAGTACTGGGAGATGCTGTGGTTTAATGATTAGGGCGCTAAACCTTGGAAACTGGATAAGCTCCAAAAGTAATTGGCCACATACATGAATAGTGATGTCATACCCACTAACTATTAACTAAATTCTGCTCTTCAGACATGCAAGCAAAAAAACCTTCCTTGAGTCATTCAGTTTGGTAAAATGTCACCAAATACTATTTCATACACAGTAAAAACCCATCCAGTTTTAAGATCTGTCTACTAATTTTCCTCTGGACTGCCATATATTCCTTGTGGGGTTGTTAAGAGGATGTGATGGTTTACCACAACAAGATCCCACTGTTAATAATTTCAATGTTTAGTGTCAGTGTAAGTGTAGTCAAGTGGATTAATCAGAGAATTTCCAGGAGAAATTTTAAGAAGTACAAAGTCATTAAGAGGGAAAAAGGGTTTGTTGCTTTAATATATACCTGTTGAGAACCAGCCAAACATTTTTTCTCTTAAGAAAGACTTTGTGGTATTAGAAATGTGAAAAGTTACCTTTTTTGCAGTTGATGTAACACATTTTAAAATATCCAGCCAGTTCCATCATGTATTGATCCTGCTGCAAAATGCAATTGCAAAATGTAACATCCAATCATCAAGAAATATGTCACTGATATCTCTTGCAATACAGGAGAAACAGTAGCCAGTGTTTAGTGCACTGGACCCTGAGTGGAGAGGCATGAGTTTGAGATCTGGCCTGGTCATTGTGTTGTGTTCTTGGGCAAAACATTTCCTTCTCAGAGTGCCTCTCTACACTTGCAGTAGAAAAAGAAGCTGTGGAGGCCTAGCTTTTCAAAGCCTTGAATTCTCTCCAAGGATTTTGAACTTGATGTTCCCCTATGAAACTACTCTAACCCCACCACGAGTTTTCAGCAAGTGCTGTTATACAGAGAATAATACATGGGCGCGCGTAGATATGGAATTTCTCTCTGAGTGTTTAACTCAATAGCTCATGAGTGAGCACAGCGAACGAGTGAGATGTCGAGTTGAACACGAAAAGAGAAATTGCATATCTACGAGCAACCATGTGATATTATGTTTATATTTACTGACAAAAAAGCCAACTTTATTAATGAATGAAAATAAATGGATCGACAATTCCCGAACAAAAATCGGACAGTGCGTAGGCGCTAAGGCTCAAGATGGAAAAAATGCGTTGAATCATAATAACAAAAACAACAATGGGCGTAATTTTCAATTTGCAAAATTCTCATTCATTGACTTTGTCCTTACTGACAGAAGAAATCTTCCAGGTAAACGGCCAAAGCAGCCTCTGGCAAATCTTCCAGATGTCGATTTTCGTTCTCAGCCGCGAGAAATGCCATTACCAAAGCCACCAAATACGTAATTTTCGGTTTTTCTTTTCGTATATTGGTTTTCTTCACCTCATAGGAAAGTTTGAATGTCACGAACTGTCTGTACGAACTGATTTTTCAGTGTTTTAGCGGCCATAATTTGAGAAGATTCCGACAAACTACCTTGGATTAAGAATGGTGAAGGTTTTGCCGTTCATTCATCAGCCTGACCGAGTGGCGCGAAAGGCGAGTGACGTTCAGCAGCTCATTGGTGATATCGAACACACGTGAAGAAATATCGTATCATTACGGCTTTTCTCGGGGCTGGAAATCCTTGTACAACACCGTAGTTTATATTATATAATAATTTTTTTTCCTGTTGGATGTGAAAATATGCCACAAAATAGGGAGGGAGGAAAGTCCAAATCATTCACATGTATCGCAATTCAATGCAGCCTTAATCGCACATTTTCAAAGACCTCAACAATAATCACACTAAGCTTTCACAATTAGCTGTCACGCAGTGTTGTGTGACGGCTCCTCTGACCTCTCAGCCAAAAATTAAATTGGTTTAAATACACACTTTAGTACCGTTAGGGTTTAGGTTATGTAAGAGGTAAACTTACTGTACCTTTTATTCTCCTCCGGCTCAAAAACAAACGAAGCTGTTTACATCTTCATGATTGTTTCAGCTGTTCTTGGCCACCCGAATCAAATACTGGGTACTTGAATCATCGTTTCTCATCAGTAAACATACAAAATCAAAGGTGAACATGGCTACCGACAGTTTAAACCATCCAAGTGCGAGGAATTCGAAAAAAAACAAAAAACACAGAAATTGGAAACAAACAGACGACGGGAACGGGCTAAAACTGAAAACAGTTGTTCAGCGGATTGCCCTGAAACTGTACTCGCCCCAGACCCAGCAACGTTTCCCACGTGCAATAGAGACAACATGGCGAGATCGAAGGACAAGAAGAAGGACGCAGAAAACGGCGAAGCAGATGAAACAAAGGACGATTCGAGGATTGATGAACCTACTATGGACTATGAAGAACTTGTGAAAAGAGTATGTGTAATTGCAAAGCCCCTCGCAAGCAGAAAACTTACAAAACGATTGTACAAAACTGTCAAGAAAGGTAAGCGTGGTGTTTATCTGTATGGCTTAATGGCATAGGTTTCGATTGCGATTTGACTGAGATCCAGCGATAAAAGTTTGATCAGGGCTGTCTAAAATTGTTCTTTAGCTTCTAAAGGATATACCGTTCATTTCTTTGTTAAAAAGTTACGATACCCAACAGGATTGTTAATTGTTTGGTACAGATACCTTCATGTAAAGTGTGTTTTTTTCTTCTCTCTAGCATCCAAAGCGAAGAGTTTGAGGAGAGGAGTCAAAGAAGTAGCAAAAGCCTTACGAAAAGGCGAGAAAGGGTGAGAGATGTGATAATCATGAACAATTACTGTTTTGGTAAATGGTTCATATGATCTGCTGAGACTCTAATAAGCTCAACAAATCGTTAAGTACAGTAGACAGTGAAACATGTTTTTGTGTGTGAAAGTGATATCTGTATGGTGGCAATCTTTTTCTGTAAGGTTTGTTGTCATAGCTGGTGATGTCTCCCCAATTGATGTCATATCCCATATTCCCATTGTCTGTGAGGACAACAAAATACCATATGCTTATGTACCATCAAGATTGGTGAGTAATTCTGCTTTTTCTTCTTTATGGATGAACTTAATTTTTACACTATTACAACAGTATTTTGTAGTTTAATTCCTAAACAGATAAGTAACTCATTGACAATTATTTTAGCCCTTTACAAGAACCTTTAGAAATAGACTAAGATTTTGAGAATGCAAGTAGTGGGGTAAAAATCAGCTAATAATTGGGGGCAAAAGTTGTTCAGGGCTAGTATTTGGTGCAGGGGACTTCAGATTATCAGGTGTGAGTTTGACAAAGGTTTGAATAACTTTTTCCATAAGCAGCTGCAGATAGTGTGATAGGCAGCTGGATTCAGAAAAGTAGCCTGCAGTGCAGGCGTCTTATTAAGGCAAGCTAAAGTTATAAGCTTGCGATCATTCATCTGACCAGCCATGTTTGATTTGCCTACCACTGCCATTGAAATCAAAGATGGCAGCCATAATTTTCATTAAGAGAATTATTAAAATTATGCCTGCTCTGTAGGCTATTGGAAAAGGAGCTGTAAGGCAGAACCCAAACACAAGAGCCTGCTCACAGGCTAAAAAGACAGTGATAAGAGGTGTTATAGGTAATGTTAGATCACCAACAAATGGCTTTTACCAAACCCTTGGCTTGACCTTCAGTTAGGTGATGGTGTTGTGTTCATGAGCAAAACCTTTAGAGTACCTTACTGTATGTGTGCTTTGGTGGGCTTGTGTAGGTTCCTCAGGGCTATGCCCCTTGGGGTTGTGGAATGCACCTGGAATATTGCTCCAGCTACACCAGTCCAGGTGTTCAAACTCAAATTGTATCAACAGTTACTAACTAGTGTTTTTTTTTAAGGGAACTCTACAGTTGCTTCATGACACAGAGACATGAGAGATGTGACAGTCTGATGACTCCATCAGTGATACTGAATTTGTTTATTTGCAGGACCTTGGAGCTGCAAGTCAAACCAAACGACCCACAAGTATAGTATTGGTCAAGTCCCATGAAGACTTTGAAGACAACTACAAAGAGTGTTTTTCAGAAGTGAAGAGCTTGCCACTTCCATTATAATCTTCTCAAATATGCATTTTGTGGGGGGGGGGAGGTTAAATCCAGAGCTCAAAGCCCAGTCAGTCCTCTTAACTAGTCTTACAGCTTTATTAAATTAATGTAAGAAGTCATTTCTTCTTAAGAACTGACTGGGTCAAAAAGCATTGGTGAAAATGTTGCACCACTGATGTATACATGTGATATCTAAAACCCTCTTAACTGCATGTGACAGATTTGTTTGTCAGTGGTAACTATCGCAAAGCTAGGAAAAGCCAGGGCCTATGTATTAAATGAAATGAGAAATCCAAAATCATTTCCCATTTGTATGATATTGTTGACTGGATGCATTTTGTTGCTAGGCTGAAACAATATGGTACTTTTCCCATTCATACACTGGTTGTCTTAGGTGTAAGACATTTTAAAGTCTTTTGTCTAATTATTTTGAGGTTTATTTTTTAGTGAAGCCACACAATCACAATAATAATTGGTATGTAGATTTGATGAGTGAGGTTGTTAATTTTTTTGTCAATTTTGTATCATTTACCCGATTATGAAAGAATGATTTACCACAGATGAATAGGCACTTCCCAGTCAGCAATCTTATGGTAAAAAAATGCCTTGAACTGGAAAGCAGATTATACACTTAGACATCAGAGAAAATATGGGTAAAGTTGATGTATTTGGGTTATTTAGGGTAGGAATTTGCTCTCCCGCAAGGTGTTTTTTAGCTGGTGTAATAACTAACTGCATAGGGCTTTACCATCACTTTGGTGCTTTTGCAAAACTGGTCAAAAAGTCTCTTTTATGTAAGACTTTGTTCTGTGTTGTTTATGCATGATGCATAGAATAAACCCAAGTGGAAAACAAGATATGTCCACCAGTACCTTGCATATATATTTTCTCTGAATTCTGATACTTGAATGGCTGCCATAATAACAATTAAAATAAGTTGTGAAGTGACTAGTCATTTGACTCCAGACTCTAATGGCCTGGAAAATTTGATGGTTTGTTGTGGTTTTTTAAAAGGAAAGATTGTAAAGTGTAAACTGGGGGATGTAGCTAGTCTGCATAAAAACTGTGAAGTTGTCTGGTGAATGATACTCGTCTGTATTCTTGGAGGGGGTGCACGGTCCTTTCTCCAAATTTTGACCTTAATTTAGACTTTGATATGCCACTTTCACATCAGTTTTCATAATTACCTTCTGATAGTTGTATTTGGCTTGCAAATCCACAAATATTGAGATTTGAGCTTCACTTCGGTCCCGAAGTCACGAATTGGTAAATTATCCCTAAAACTGAGCTTAAATGATATTTTGTTCCATTCTCTCTTATATGGTATTCACTTGAAGTTAGAAAGACATACAATTTTTACACTGATGTGGTAGTCTTGAAAACCATACCCAATTTAAGATCAAAATGGTAAAAATCTACAACCCTTTTCAGAGGTAACAGTCGTCGTTGTCTTCTTGCACAGACGCTCCTAATTCCGTCGCCTCCGGGTGAAGTTGGGGGTGACGCAGCCATTCCTCGGGGCGACGAAACGTGGGGCGACCGTGTATGGGAGCGACATCACCTATATCCTTTTCAGATAAACGTGCTCAAAACCGTACCATTCGGCATGGTATAGATCTCAACGACATGTAGAGGGGGTACCTACCCCCGAACTGGCAAACACTATTTCATGGTGGCACGGATGAAATAATTATTACTAAAAGAAAGAGCTAATTAGGCCTGAAACATTTTTCACATCTGCATATATCGAATGGAATTTATTTTCTTAAATAGAAGTGACAATCATACACTGTACTCTAAATAATTTATTTTGCAAAATTCCTCGGATTTTTCAAAAAAATATTCTTTTTCTTTGAGTATGAAAGGTCAACCGAAAAATTTCTGCAATGTATAAACTTCATTGATTGTAAAAGATAGACAGGAGTAGTATGAAATTATTTAATTTCATTTTCACCTCTTTCGAATATAAATTATTCGTCTGAGTCTACATAAAACAGTTTTGAATCACACGTACTGGGTAGTGCTTTAATTGGCAGTTTTTCAGCCTCAAACAATGTCAAACAATCTTCTTGAATAAGGTTTTTTCTTCGTTCTACGTCACAGATACAATAGATCACTTGATTTTTTTTCCTTATCTACCATTATTTTTTAACCTATTGTTCCATTATCGCTCCCAGCAACTTCGACCAGAAATGATCTGTTCACTCAGCGAATACGTAAAGCAGCATTTAAACTTATTTAGAACGCTTAATTCAACATCGATATCCCACGAGATACCTTATTTGTTCGATAATTCTTTGATTGGCCTGGATTAACGCGAGTTTGGATCACTACAGCACCAAGTAGAGATAATAATATCGCTGCGATTCATCTTATCGATAAGATAGTTCGGGAAAAGACTCATTTCCAGCTGACAGCTTGTTCGGTAACATGTTATTAACTCGGCAGACCGTAAATTATTATTTTAATTTAACTGTTTAATTTTTCGACAATCGCCGCCATGTTTTCTTGAGGTGCATCGAGGCATACTTCTTACACCGCCTAAGTCTCTTTGAAGGATTTAACTCTTGACAAAATTTATCTTAAGTGTTTGCTGTCTAATCTTAGTATAATTTTATTTCCACGACACGCGGGATGCCTAAAACGCGCGCGTGACAATTCGTGCGATGGCGCAAGACTCCCAGGTGTGGGTTCTCGTCAGAGAGGTGTCGTCGATCCAATATCTTCACAGCGGAAGACTGGGAATAATTTCTAACGTGCAGATGGTTTTGGTGGGTTTCCACCAGCAAAATAAATTTTAATGTAGATGAGTTCTGTTCTCACCACACCCTGCAAACGCCGTAGAGGGATTTAACTTAAGAAAAGCCATGCTATTTAAACTAGTTCATTTCTTGGCTTAGTTTTCATGCTGCTATCGAAAGCGGTAAAAGGGTGTTTTAAAATCCTAATGGCTGGTGAAATTTGAATACACACACAGTACTTGACGAACAAATAAATAGATTCGTCTTCTAGCGGTTACTTTTAATGACACAATTCTTGAAGCATTCATTTGAGAAGAATTCACTGCATTAGTAAGGTCAGTTTTAACTCGATAAGCGTAAAAGCCGAGGGCGGCTCGATTTGTTATTCTCATTTACAATCATATCATTCCATTCATATGCAATTATTTAAATCCTGTGACTATGGGAGTGGATTTACCAGAAATGTTTAGATCCTTCTCTATCACGTATTTACATTTTATAATATACTTTAGGACATTTACATAAGCGCATTCTAGCGTAACTTGGACGCAAAATACTCGCTACGTAAGCGAAAAGCGTTTATTAGATTGCCATTTCAATACAATCCTAACAAACGAATAGCAGACAACCCGGAGAAATCGACGGGTCAAAATATTTATCGGTACTTTCGATTCGTTTCGAAGTCTTCAGCATCTTGACAGTTTCTTCAACGCACCATGCTTAAAATTAAAAAAAAAGATGTCGAAATTTTGAGCATTTGATGGCCCATGGGACGTAATCCTCGAATTAACAATTAAACGACTAAAAAGATTGCTTTATTCTTTCGTCTTGTGGTAAACGAAATGAAGAAAAGTCCAATTCACTCAGTAAATGAGTCTTCACGCAGTCTGTTTTGTATACCGAGTCAGTTTTTCTCTCTCGCTCACTGTATTCTGGCACAATAGGCGATTTCTCTTGCACGGCTGTATCGAGAAATTTCGCCCCACCTGCACGTCCGTGGGAAAAACTCTTACAGCTTAAACTCCTCTTCGTCGGTGAGAACATGTCGTCGACTTTTCTTGCTATCTCTTCGGCTCCTCCATATGATATGCACGATTTTTAGCAGTAAAAACAACGACGTAGTTCCTAGTAGGGCGGCATTGAAGATTGAATTCCGCTTGTCTTTGTCCCAGAACTCCATGAAAGTTCCCGTGAAGCCGACAATCATTGGTGTGTAGGGCGTAACGGTGTATAATGTGAACTTCCAGAACACAAAATTATCCAAACAAAACCAAAAGAGAATCGTCGAGCCGAGTCCAGCGAGGACCATAGTGCAGGCAATCTCATCATCCACTTCAGCAGTGTACTTCAACACAATTGCGGTTTGTTGGAAGGAGTTGTACAGCGCCCAAGACGCGTACAGGCCTATTCCGTTAATGACAAGCACTTCCATCGCGATCTGGTCGCCTGTTGGAAATTTTTTCATCCCGTCACGGAGGTTGTTAAATCGATTGTAGACGATTGCTAAAGCCACGAACAATGACGCGGCTGTGCCACCAATGAATCCCAGAGCAATATGAATGAGATCTTCACCCCACATCATGACCCATCCAAGAGTAAAGCCGAACGCTAGCAGGGTAAACACGAAGAAGAATGGAGTCAAGACCTTAGGGCCATACCGCCGACACATCAAAATAAGCGCATAGAACAGCCAAAGGAGCTGCCATCCAAGGACAGCGCTCCATGTCCAAAAAGTCCATTCTGCAGGGGTTATTTCCACGGGATACCTTTGAAAGATCTGTAACGTGCGATTGTAAATGTAGAAATCTAGAATGCTTTCCTCTGCGTACTGGCCAAAGTAGAAGAAAACAGCCGCCCCAGCGAAGACGAGAAACGCAGTGATTGTAAGGAAAACCACAACGCACCGGTTCATGTTGCACATCGCTTATCGACACTTTTGTCAGCTAAGCTTTACCTTGCGATGCGCTAGGCAAAATGTCCGTTACTAGCGAAATGAATAAACTAACAGACACGTGCAGTGAAGTGTGAACACATTTCTGACACTGGGCGTCGTTGCGCTGAGCTTTTAAAACTTTTATTTGCTGCAAGCTATATTATATGTAAATTTCTTAAGGACTCAAGCGGGCGATTGTACGAGAAACACATAATGACATCAAAACATGGCCAATGATTGGCAGAGGGATTTGCGTACCAGGTGCGTCTTGACAGGGCGCCAATTACGAAAGCAGTCAATCAAACAGAACAGAATTATTTTAAACAAAAGTGACTTTAGGTTGTTGTAGCGAACGGCAATCAGCATTTTAACAAGGGTGGCCGATTGATTGTCTCGCAAATTGCTAGTCAAATTTTTCCGGCGCAGTACCTCTGATTTGAGAAAAGTTCGAGGTTTAGTTTTTTTCTTAAATACAAGCTTTCGTCCCGCTAAACACATTTTCCTTCAGCCGTTCACAATTGAACACCGTAAATTAAATTTTTAGCTGTATTAGCTAATGTATGCTAAGTAACGTAGAATGTTGAACTGAATTAAAATGCCAAAAACCAAAATAAAGTGAAAATTTTTCTCGACACAGCCAGCCGTTCAGTTTTGCGAGCCGTCGACTTCTCTTCGATCGGTCTTAAACTTCATAACAGCTTTTTGTCCGTTTGATTTTTTTCCATGAAAGAAACCTTCCAACTGGTCAATTACTTCTGTGGCTTAGGGATGTAATGAGATGGCTTGTTTCTGGAAATACTGAATGGCTAATTAATCGCTACAAAAAAATGCGACAAACTTCAACGCCTCCAAAAGTTTAATTTCATTAGACCACTGCTAACAGGAATGAGAAGATATCGTTTACTGATTGTTACGATAGAAAGAAATGGCAGTTCAATCTAAATCTTACCCAAGATAAATGACCCTTTTTCGATCTCTGCGTATAATTCCGGCTGTAATTATATGTAAAATAGGCTATGTAATATGTCGTTATTCTAGTTTGACAGCCAGCTTGATAAATAACTAATGACGACGAACCGGCTTTGACAACAAATATCAGTCCGCGAGACCTCAGCGGCCCTAGGCGCAACTTTCTATATATAGTACTTACGTCACCCTCATGTGAACAGCTGCAAGTGTCACACGAGTAAGACCAAGTAAGCGCTTTGTGACATGCATCACTGTTTAAAGTAAAATCAAATACGAACTTTTTTTCAATCATAATTTCTGTTTCCTTTATACAAATGTTACCACCAAGAAATCTCAAAGGCTCCCCATGTTTACAAACCATACAATTATTTCAATACGTCTTTTTGTTTGTCTTTCTCTTTGCAGATACATATTTTGGTTGAAAAACAACCTTAGCACTCTAATATTTGTCATTCAGCTTTGGAAGATGAGGCAAGTTCTATCACGTTTATCGAAAAGAGAGTTAAGATTTAAGAATCTAGCCAATTAGAGTTAAGACAAATGTAAGTAACTAATACTGCTGGTCAAGAATCTTAATTTAACAGGAATAATATTTGGTTTATTCTTTCTAAAAAGATAACAGATTACAAGGCAACAGCAACAACACTCTTACAAAGCGCTTAGACGTTATTTAAACAAATGTCAGAGATGATTGTTGACTGGCTCTCTACCGGCCTAGGTGCCATATTTTCATTTCGTAAAAAATATTTGTATTTTTCGCGACACACTGACACAAAGCAGAATGTCGCAAACTCAACAAAAGCTAGGTACGTTAGAACATCTCTGAAATGTTATACTGGTAAAAAAATACTAATCGGAATACAGTAATGTATGTTTTTACAGAGTACAAAAATTTCATCAACTTCTACGAAATATTTCACAAATAACAAAACATCTTTATGACTTCATAAAAAACTTCATGGTTAGAAAAATAGCCATAAAGCGTAGCAGACATTTCATGAGGATCAATAACAGAAAAGTATAGACTTCAAAATTCAGCTTTCCACAAAGGAATTCTTCACCATATCGGTCCGTTGACTGGTCGTCACATAAGCTTATGTGCTCATCGATTCTTCTGAACCTTCGGGGGAACTGGTGGCGACCCGTTTACCTTTAAAATCGTGGACGTGCGCGGCGGAAGGGCTGGAGACTAGAAAAGAAGGTAGGACATAGCAATTGCAAGTGATCACTGGAAACACTACACGACGAGATTAGCGTAAACAAGTAAACTAATTAATGTAAACAAGTACGAAACGTATTTCATCGCAGTCGGCAACTGCTTTAGTCCTTGGCGTAAAAGAACCACTCAATGTTTAAAGGGTGATGCTCTCTCGCGGCTGCTGCATAAGGTCCCCAGGTTCAGACGAATAAGTTAAAATCAGAATAAAATATTTAAATTTGTTAAAACAATGATGATGATGATGATGACAGAGATGATGCTGAACAGAACAAAATCGTCTGGATTAAACAGACAACTGCGAATAATGATTGTAGATCTATGAAAATAATAATATACTTGCACTGCGGTAAAGAAACGAATACAAGAGATCCTCGCAACTATAAACACTACTGAACTAGTAGTTGAGATAAGACCTGAAAAAAGACAACTGCGAGTTTGTTCTTTGGAAATTTGTCGCTCTTTGTAACGTGAAAGTACTTCGAACCATCCAGCACTTCAACAAAATGGGTCAACTCCCCCTTTGTTCTTAGAGGACAATCTCTTACTTGCTGGGCAGCCTAAGACACTACAGAAGGATTCCATATCGTACAACGCTCGGCAGCGAAATCGGTGCGAGACTATTTACGTTGTCTTGCAAGAAACAAATCATCCTTTGGCTTACACAAATTTACTTCTGGGCACTAACATAGAAAACGTCTGATTAGATACGGACCGAACAAGTAGCTGATTGACATCTGTCAGTGATTACCTGCTCTGCCTGCTCAGTACCATCAGATCCACTGGATTCAGTGCTAGAGCGCTGATGCACGTCAGCAGACTTCTTCCGCATAATAGTTTTCTGTGGCAGTTCCGGAGCCGGTTGGTGTACCTGTGGAGATGGTCGAGGGGGTTTGGGTGGAGCGATTTCTGACAAAGGACTTGCTGTGTTCTTAAACTGGAATAGAAGAAATTTGTTTTCATCACTCAGTCAAGAATTGCTTGAAGCCTTAATTAGATTGATCACATTCACATACACACTGTTTTTAATGTAATATAAAGGGTTTGAAAGTACGTTAGAAGTACTACTAAGATAGCCGGTATAACGGGAACGACCTACCAATAGATCCGCACAAGAAGATTCACAAACGTTAGAAACAGTTTGCGTGAGAAACAATAATTCACGAAGTTACTGATTAGAACAACGTTCATGTGGAAAGAAAAGAAAACTCTCTGAAAGTCATGTATAACGTACTACCAAGAAACACTGGAAACCTTTTCTGCTGTTTTATAGACACAAAATTATGGCAAAATAACATGAACTTGTTTTTTAACATCCATGCGGTAGACCGAGTCCTATTTTAAGTGAAATTCTTGCATAGCATTTTAACTTGTGTTGTTCTCCAGTCCCGAATTTAAGTCTTGCACAGACTCCCTTCAACAGGTGTCAACCACTACCGGCACCATACAAACGACTCATTCACGACATTACCATTAAAAACGAACCGAACAGAACGACCTAACTTTACTAACGGATCGAGACCGACCAATCACGACCGACCTACGCCACTCGTGTCTTACAGCCAATTACATCACGGCAAAACTGACTAATCAGTTTATACAAACTGGACTTAGAAGGTTCGACTGACAACAACTATTCACTTGACTCTGATGATGACTTCCGCTCAGATTGTCGAAACGTCAGTCACCACTACCGACAACAGTCCAGAACTGCACTCACCCGAACGATCAAACTACAGTATTTCATGCTACTTATATTCTTTTTGTTTCTACAAGCATTCCCCTTATGCATATTTACCCCATCTTCAGTGTGCGAAAAGACTTCCACTGTTTTTCTCCTCTGTGGACGGCCCGTCGGACTGGACATAGTAAACGACTTCACCGGAAGTGGAGGAGGATTGTTTGCACTGCTTCCTCCGCCCGTAGAAACGATAGAGCTGAAAGAATGTGAGGAAACCCAAATAATAATCTCTTGACAACTATTCACCGAAGTGGAGAAGGCAAGTGGTTGATATTTACCACTGTCACTGAGGTAAATAGCTGTTTTAGTTTATACTTAATAGTGAGATAATATCGCACAAAAGAATGATTTTAACTTATTCAATCCTGCAACGATTACAAAATCCCACGTGCGTTGCTCGGAGGTGAATAACAAAGGATATTCGGAGTTTGAGTTGCCAATCAGAGCACACCTTCAACGCTATCCATTGCTTTAGTTTACACTGATAGTAACTATGTTTAGTTACTCTCCACAAATCTGAATTCATATGGGAAATTCTTGTGATACGATGAAATATCATGATGTCTACGTTTCTAGGACTGAACCCACACCGTTAGACAAACATTAATTGTCGGAAAATGCGAAAAATCTCAAGCTATAACATACCAAATACCAACAAAAGTCTACATATGTGTTTTGATCACCCATTTCCCATTTCTGGGTTATTGTTTTGGGTTTGAACATTAAACAGGAGTGGAGGGGAGGAAAGGAGAGAGAGAAAAGCAAGGAGAGAAATTTGCCTTAAACTTTGGACACACAGGTTGCACTCTGGATCCCGAGGGGCATTTTGAAGCTTGCGCCTAACGAACGATACACTACGTATGAATAAAGGGGGTAAGTTCCTAAAGAAACTGTGGTCCTGCGTCGGTGGGAGAGTATAGCAGGTAATTTAGTGTTAACAACTGAGTTGAAAACGTAAATTGGCCACCGTGAAGAGTAAAAAGGCTGACGTTTCGAGCGTTAGATGACGCTCTGACTTCGCTCTGAGGAAGGGTTAACGCTCGAAACGTCGGCTTTTTTACTCTCTACGGTGGCCAATTTACGTTTTCAACTCAATTGTTAACACTAAATTACCTGCGATACACGACGTACTATACCCCCAGATTACAATTACAAGAAATCTAGGCAACTTAAAAGGAACAAGGCGCACATAAATAAGGGCATCCAAAAGTTTTACATCCAATACAGAAAGAAAAAATGCAGAACCACAATACGGAAACCAAACTGTCTTACGATACCCTTAAAGAACAAAAAACTCCGAGATAAGAAACGAGTTTGGAAGGGATAGGAACATTGGAGAGTTGTAAGCTTTCTGTTGCCTAAGAATATTGCAGCGTAAGCGATGGGAAGCGCAGTTAAAGTACGATTGGATTCGAAGGAGACCAAACTTACTCTGTCCATCCGCTATACGACTGGTGCATCTGATCCAGGCTGTCTCGGCCAGATATAATAGGCTTGCCCTCTCGTGACTTTCGAACAACTGTCATCGATCGGTCTCCAAAGGGAGAGGCGTCTGGTGTCTTTGGGTTACTGGAGATGCTTGCGCGAGCCTGTGCAAAGAAAATACGATACAGTTATTAATGACTAAGTAGTACGGACAGGCGGGAAAATATTTGACTCAAGGTCATGAAGTACGGATCGAGCGCAACAAGGTCCGTGCGTCATCACCGAGAGTCAACTATTTTTCCGCCCGTCCAAACCTAACTCAGTCAATAAGCTTTTTGTCATGTGACCGTCGCTCTTTCTTTTTCTCGTTTCTTTCATCATCTCGCATCTCGCAGAGCTTTACGGCATTTTCCGGCCCAATTCACACCCAATTCACGTGCCATGGGGTACAGCCCTCATACTGTACGGGGATCTTTGTCTGACGATTCACAATAAAAGCGCGCGCAGGGCCACATGGGTCATATATTAATATCGCATTAGTCCTAACTTGTTTCAGTCTCTACGTCAGTTCTTCAGCCTTTTTGAGCATTGCAGGATGGCTAATCTAGGATAGAAATTGAAGAAAGACGTGTAACAGATTTTTTTTTCGCCTGTACTCACCTTTTTAAAGGGCGCTGTCTTAACCTTCATTTCCTTAAAACGTTTCTCGAGGTTTTCATGGAAAGGTTTTAGATCAGCTGAAACACGACTTCCGTGTAGTACCATTCCTTCCTCCAAAATTTCCACCTATATATCAATCAAATCACGTCACTGCTACATTAAAACCCGTATTTCATCGGGATAGCAAACATACACAATGTTTACTATTATGGTGTGCTACAAATATGAACTGCACCTTACTGGTATTCCCTTTACCCCAATTGAATGGAATTATTAATCAATTTTATATCGAATTTAATCTCAAGCTCTCACCTGATCAACTATCAATTCTTTAAGTTTCTCAACGTACGGTGCGTAATCAGGGTTCTGTTTGATATATTCAGGAGTAAGAAATGCCTGAAATAAATCAAGAAACAAGAACATAATAAATACACACCTCTTAACCAATAAATTTGTGTGTAAACCTCCTTTCGCATGTCAACACTGAGCCTTAACAATTTTTCTCAACACAAATGGCCGTTTGCAATCAGGGGTTATAATCTCAGCGCGTAAATAAGCTATTCTACCCTTTCGGCTTAATAAAACCAGAGAAGCACCAACGTAAAAGATTAGCTAGTCGCTGGGTATGTAAAGAGGCTAACAGGTCAATATGTCCGACCTTTTCATAATTACTGACTCCTCCCATAACAGCTGCATCAATAATTCCTCCAAGTTTCATACTCAAGGGATTGATGTTCAGATTTGGGTCCACGTTGTGACGACCAATTAGAGCTCGAAGCTGCTTGTTAGCAGATTCCATTGTCTCCAAAGCATTCTGCACAGGACTCAGTTCCTCCTACATTAAAACGAACAAAAATAAAAATGGTTACCACTCCTTCCAATAAAATAACCTCGCTTAGTTACTCAGGCTATCGCAAGTGTTAAAAAGTGACGTAGATTCCGAGGAAGATCTTAGTCGTTTAAACTTGAATTTGACAATGTTTTTAGATCACTTCCCGTGGATTTTGACAGAGGAGAACATTGTCCCACGAGCGACCGCATTGCCCTTTGGCAGTGGGAGTGTAGATGATTGCAAGACTGATCAAAAGACATGGGCGACAAATGACACATACCATGACATGAAACGCAATGAAGAACACAAACTAAATTAACACAGCGACATAATATTATTCATAAACTCGAAATTCATGCATGCATTGCAGGCCTACACTCACTCACTCGCTTACTCTTAGCCGACGGCAATATGGTTAGTGTACTTTCAGTGCATTAAATAGTACTTCCCTCCCAAATGAAGCACGCACAATATCAAAATTAATCAAAACCAGCCAAAAACGAACAAGTTTTTACTATGTGAGAACAACACATGAAAAAAAATCAACAGACCGTCTCAATAGAAGTTGCCTCGAACCAACACAATATACCAGGAAACGTGAACTTGGTATAAATGGTCGTTCTCTCCAGCCACAGCGTCTGCAAAAGGAAACATATCAGTTCTCCGCATCCGCTTAGTTAGCAAAAAATCAATAGCCTACTGTGGTCGTCTTTCTGAGTTTGTTTCATGACTAAGAAAGAAAACTTTCCTCTGCGATCTTAACGTCCCAACCGCACAAGTAGAACAAAGAGAAAATTGAAGTCCCCACGCGAATTCGTAAATCAAACCAGTCTGATTTCCCAGTCACATATGGTTCAACTAAGATATATCAAGGAGGTAAGTTCCAAATAAAACTGTGGTGTTGCTTCGGTGGGAAGCATTAAAAGATGATTTGGTTTTATAGGTTGAGTTAAGTCACTGTAAAGAGTTTCTGAAGCTGTCGTTTCGAGCGTCAACCCTTGTCCACTGAAAAAAGGCTAGCGCTCTAAGCGTCACCTTTAGAACCTCGTTACAAAGGCCACTTTGCTTTATCAACTCATTTACTAAAACCAAATTATCTGTTAAGATGAAGCGTAGCTCGTCAAAGCATCCGACCAAAAGGAGGCTCACCGAGAATTCGTTGTCCTTGTTAACCTGTCCCTTGTGTACTCCTCTGGAGAACTGAAAATGGTTCACATTGTTCACCTCGTAGAATCTGTGGGAAAGTGACAGGGTTGATTTTAGCGAAACAGAAGACACCTCGGAAAAGACTGAGAGAGGAAAGTTGACTTAAATTTACTTAGTTATCTGCTCCAAAATGTTCTTTCTCCGAAATTTCCGCTTCTCCACCGGTACTGGGTCTACTTTGTTGATTTGGAGATCTGGTAACGTCAAGGATAACACTAAGAAAAAGAGTCCACGTCAAATCAAAGGGAAGATAATGGGGGTTAGAGCTGGCGACGATTTACTAGTTCACTAGTGCACGTACTTTTAATAGAAACTGAACAGGTTTGAAATACTGAAGCCTACACCACTATTTAAGATAGACCGCCTTTTTTTTCACGTGGACCATCCGAGTAGAAATCCGTGTTACTCTTCTCCAAATTCGGCCATCAGTTCCCTTGCTAGCTTTTTCCTGTGTTTATTTTGATTATTTTCACATTTTTCAATCGTTATTGCCCGATATTTCCGATATCTTTGGAAAGTCATTCGCTAGCCACGTGGGAAAATAGATCATTCTTTTCTTCAAGTCAAACTGCTAGTATAAAGGATACACTGTTGGCTGGAATGCTTAATTTCATTGGTAATGACATCCTTCATTTTGAGAATCTGCCATAAACGAAAAAAAACTTTGATTAATTTACCAAGTCAAATATTACTGAGCAGATGCGCCAAAGAAAGAAAGAAAGAAAGAAATAACTGTTCACATCTGAGGTATACCCCTCTCACATGTAGAAAATACTCTTGCGAATTCAGAAGAAAAGGCTTGAGACTAAGACATGCATCAACCCTCTGAGATCCTCTCCAACCAACCTTTAAATTGTACTCTGACTAAGGACGAGTAAATATGGCTGATTAACAATATCACTCCTTTACTTAGGAGTGATATCTGTGTAATTTTGCATCTTACTTGTGGCGACCGAAGTTAAGGGGCATAAAAAAATACAAGAAGTATGTCCAAAAGCCAACTGAATCATAAATTTGAGTTGGACAGATGTACACTGTTTGTTGCCATACCTGAGCACTGGGGTACTGACTCTGAATTCGAACGACAAACTCGCCGATTTTCTCGTACTCCTTGCCACGATACACGAACACTTTGTTCTGAAGGAAAAAAAGCCGAAAAAAAGTGTTATGCTATATTATCATTTTTTAAGTCTTAAATAAAATTCTTTGCCCTTTGTCAACTTATAAATGCACACAAACAAAAAATAAACATACAAAAATACTAAATTGCTTTCGACAAATGTTGGATTCATTCCTCAGAAATGTAAATGAAGAACACAATTCAACAAAATAAATAATCAAAGTTGTATTGAAATCCCATTTTGTTGAAATTCTGTTTCTTAAGATACCCCCTGCAGCTCGTTGACCGTTGCACTCAAAACTATCCAATGAACGATAAAAACCAGCATAAGGAGCAATTCCCTCTCCATAATCACTCACACACCAACATAACGAAATTGCAAGCTAGTACAAGTTATTAAATTGAACAGTTGCAGTGCTTACCCTTAGGAATGTCGGGAAACCAAGACCATAAAAGGCAACCTTGAAGTATTCTGGATCCCCACGGACGACCTTGATGATGTTATCGTAAAACTTGGCTTGTTTAATCTACAAATACAACATGAAAGCGATAAAAAATAAAGAGAAATTAAGAAAAAACCAAGATGGCAAGAGGCAAGGGGTAACGTGGCGGGAAGAAAGAGAAGGGGTTAAAGAGGCTACCAGGTTTAAAAGGGAAACAAAGAGGAAATCAGGAACAAAATGGTGACAAAATATTGGTTAAATGAGTGTCATGAGGATCAATGCAGGAAACACTTAGCAAACAATAAGGATGATCTTACTGCAACACTTTACATCAAAAAGATCCATCAATTAAGAACAGTTGATAAAGTATTAGGCACATTAATCACAACTCGTACCAAACTATGTTTACACAAATTCCAAATACGATTTTAGTGACCCATGTATATGCTACAACATAGAATATAAAAACTAGAAATCTTTGGGACACTTCTCTAAAACACTCGTATTTCCTTATGCACTCCCCTTAACTCAGACTAAATAGTCAACTTCTTTTCACACTTTCCCCTCTTCCTTCAAGGAATAATGTTGGTCCTACTGTGCACGACATTGGAAAAGTCGAGTGTCAAAAGTAAATTAAGATTACATCAGTTATTTTGCCTCACCTTGACCAATGATCAGTTTAAGAAGCTCGAGAAACCTTCAACCAGGTAAAAAGCTTATATGCAAATTGGATGCACGAGCTATTCCACGAGTGGGCCGTGTAAAATGAATTTTTATCTGAGTTCTGATTAGCTCATTTAACAATAGTTTTTTTCTAATTGGCTGTGGAGATCATTTGGCTTGGCTTTTTTGACATGTAATTTAAAAGCGTCATATCCTAGAAAACAATACACTGATGGGGTTGGAGGGGATTACACATTATAAAAATGAAGGTGGCCTCAACATTTCGAAATTGTGTCAAGAAGACGTTGAATAAGAGTAAACAAAATACGTATAGGGAATGAGTGACGCAATTCCTTTTTTTTTCTCGAATACAAGGACGTGCATATCTTACCAAGATCTGGCTGAGTTGAATGAAATCAAACGTCTGCTCCTCATACAGGATAGCAATTTCTTTGCACAGTTTAATAGCATACTCCCAGCACTGTGAATACAAGAAGCAACACAGTCTCGTGTCAACATGAGTCTTTTTATGAAACCCCTGCTCGTGATATAATAGATAACTATAGCTGCTTTCGAAACAAGAATCACCTAACCTCTGTGAGGGTCAACGGAGTTCTAAGTCATGAGCAGAGAGCTCAGAATCTTAGCCGAGTCTCTCTTGCTTTAATCAGTTCAGTGTGCAGCTACAAGGGTTAGTCTGATCCACAAAAAAAGCCTCTTCCAAAGTCCTAATATCAACAATGACAGCGCCAGAAACAAACGGTGGTGTGACGTTCTGTAGCGCTCTGCGTAGGGTTCTGAAAAGTGCAGGCGAGTTTACCTTTCCTTTGTCAAAGTAATCAATGATGTCCCTGTACAGCATTTCTTTTAGTTGCAGCTGAGTAGTGGCTCGGTATTTTCCTTGGCTCGTAAAAACTGGCTCGTCAGTGAACTACGAGAAGAAAAGGAACACAACAAAAGGTGGAAAACAATCTTTATACAAGTTTTTTTTTTTTTAAGCGTAGGTGTGCAACAGCTGAAATTGATGTTGAGTGTATTGTTAACCATTTCCCTCCCTCCCGAAGCTACGTAATCCAAAAAGAATTTCTGAGATCCCGAGTGAGGAGCATGTCATCATTTAGATCGTTACTAACCTTCAAGTCATCGGCTCTTCTAAGAAGCGTGAAGGCAGCTTCAGTGTAATTCTCAACACTGAGGTGAAGTTCACACAGTTTGTACACATACCTAGTTAAAGGTTAGAATCCACAAAAAAATGGTTTGGCCTCCATGAAATGTATTGAATAACTAGCAAGTGAAATTTGAGACGGTATGTGGCAGTGTAAATATTACTAGAATAGGCCGATGCTGCACCCTATTGCAGTTTTCTCTAGCCTTCTGTATGAAGTACATCCACGATACTTTTTGATGCAAGACCAACCGACAAATTCCTTCCAACGCCACCAATCAAAAACCTTTTTTTATCATTTCTTGCCTTTTGTTATTTAGGAGGATGGATGGATTGGACGATATGAGGTTACATCACACTACGATCTCCTTGCTTTCATAGCTGCCTGTGTTTTAAGAGTTTAAAGCAACGGAGCCGCGAACGAATGGGAAAAACCTAGAAACTCCGCTTATCATTTCCGTGGCTCTGTGGGCTTCATGGAAACTGGAAGATCGAATTCTACTCGTTCTTCGTTCTTTATTTCCCGATTTTCGGACTCAATCACCCCCACTGCGATCATTGAAACCCAATTCTCGCGTCCAAAATCACCGCAATGAAAATACTGTATCAGCGCCCTCGCGTCCTATGATAAATAACTCAATTTTTTTTTTTATTGAGTAACCAAAAGATTGCCAGCTACACAGGCTAATTATCTGAGCTTGAACAGCGGCAAAATGTTTTCACTTACCGATCGTACATTTCTTCCTTCTTTATCTCTTTATAGAAGTTCTGTAATTTAAAACAAGAATCTTAATCACAAAAAGCAAAGCTGTTGACGATATGTCTACACGGCAAAAAGGTATTTCCATGAACGTTTTAACTGTCGATAAATATGCCCCTCAATTAGCATACGCCTAAAAAAAGTAGCCAGAATGTGGGTGTTGCAATTTCGTAAACGCTTTTTTAATTCTTCAGATCTACCAGCTTTTTAATAGTGCCGTATCCCATCCCAATCACCTTCAGTTTGAGGATAGCCTGCGAAAATTAAATTTATGCTGAAGAAGGCCACATTGAAGCGTTTTGCCACTTACCAGTACATTAACAGTGCAACTCATCCGGTTATCAATATTGTCATCCCCGAGTACGACAGTCCTGTAGTCCAGCAGTCTCTCCATAAGTTTGGTAACCAAGCCGACAAACCTAATCCCATCTTCTTTTCGCTGTGGCGGAAGTTCGCTGAAGAGGTTGGACAAGCTAGAGAAGAGTTGGGTAAAAAAACCTTTTGAACGTTTCTATCCCAAAACATCACTAAAAGATACTCGCACATAATTAATATCAATCACTTTGCGAGGAGTGAGACAATCCAGCAAATATAGTTTCCTCTCAATTCTGAACAGATTTCGTCAGTTACAGGGAGAGAATTTGGGCAAATCTTTTCACAAAAATTTCCATTAAGTGCGAACGATACGAATTTTATGAAGTGAGAGAGCGCACTCGAGCCAAGTATCCCACAACAGCAGGGCTAATCCTGTTATCTGGAATATGAACCGACTAGAAGATGGCTGGTCCGTTGAAAGTTATCTTATAGTATTTTCAAGTAACTGACAAGTTTTTGGTGCCCAGTTATATTCCTGACAAGTTTTTGGTACCCAGATATATTCCTGAGAAGAAAGAGACTCAGGGACGGTAAAACGATTTGCACTAAAGAACACGTTACAACTATCCTGCCCGGGACTCGATCATGGAAGTCCTGGAAACTAACTATCTGGCCACATCTCCATATAGGGCAACTGGAGTGGATGCTTTGATGAGCATCGGCTGGGACAAACTAATTACTCTTAACATCTAAATCAGTTATGTCTGAAGCGCTCCGCTTACATCTCATAAAACAGTTCCTTGTACTGTGTGTCCCCTTTGCCACCTTCAACGAGCACGTCCAATTTGCCGATCATTTCACTTTCAACCTTTCGAAAGCAATCAAAAAGACATTACATAAGTGTAAGAATACAAAGCCAGGGGTTTCAACGAAAGCTAGTTACCGGCTGTCAACTGCTGTCTGTCTGGGTCAGCCATCTATTGCACCACTGGCAGCTACTCTTGGAAAATGTTATTGAAAACCCTGAAAAGCTAATTCTTATAAGAGTACTTACTGACATGAAGTTTCCTTTCGCAGCGTACTCGCACTGGATCATGTCAAAAAAGATGGGAATTGTGGCTCGTCGCAGCTCTGAAAAAAAATTGTAAATGTACAGTACGGTATGAATTACCTCTCCTAAATAAATTCAATTCAAGCTCTGAAAAGGAGGAAAGAGAGCATGGGAAAATAAAGGAGCGTTTATAAGAGGAAGGGTAAAAGGCCGTAATGACATTTGATAGTCTTCCTCGATAATCTTTCCGACGGAGTGTACATGGAAATATTTTTCCTCTTTATATTTGAAATGTCCCCTCTTTTGCTTCTTTTTAAATAGAAATTTGTCATCACAAAAAAGTCGAGGACGAAATTATCTACCGAGAGGCACTTGACAAGAGCACTCGCCAAAGCAAACTCTCCTTCACGTTAGGTCGTGGCTGGAGTGAAATGCGAGCGATTTTTCCTCGGAAAAAAAAAAGCTATAATACTAGGGCTGAGGCAAACGGAGACACAAGCTAATTAACCCTTTCACTCCCAAGATCTAATTAGTAATTCTCCTTACTATCTGCCATACAATTCTTATGATGTTAGTTCAGAGAATTTGGTATTGGATCCCCTAATAATCTCATAATTGAGACTCTTCTCTATTCTCATCACCTACCTGCTTGATATTGTTTTAATATTGTAAGGAGAAATTCTCTCTTGGTCACTTGTGGGAGTGAAAGGGTTAAGTTTCGAGTAACCAGGAGCTATCTTTTGAAGTCGTAACAGAGTTTCCGAGCCGTAGTGTTCAATCAAGAATAAAGAAGGGCAACGCTTAGTAAACTTCCTATTGCTACAACTCGTCTACTCTGTGCGAAACATCAATTACCAGGAGCCAGGGAGAGTGGGAAGGTCACTTTTCCTTTGAAATCCTTCCAATCACTAATTCAAATTCAAGGTGTTCATGTCAAGAAGCCTTACCGGTGTGTGGAATTAGTGTCATCTCCAGAAACGGTCCCACTAATCCAGGAATGAAGAACGTTTTGTGATCACCTGAAAAGAAGAACACAAAAATGTTATCAAATAAATGCGTCAATTTAAATTCTATATTGAAATTTGACACTGAAACGAGATCATTCAAGATTCATGCAGTCATCTGAATCACAAACATTTCTACTGTTATAATTTTGGCCAAGAAAAGTCACCTGTCATACTAAGACAACTTGTCTAAAAAAATCTTAACGAACTGGTTGCTAATATGCTAACTAAAACGCTTCATCAATATGAAAGCGATCTTCGCAATAATGAAAACTGCTTGAGCAGTAGTGAAAATAAAGCCTGAAAAATTTTCAAGCCTGTACGGGATTTGAATCCATGACCTCTGCGATACCGGTGCAACGCTCTACCAACTGAGTTAACAAACCAATTCAGACCTATACGGGATTTCAGGCCTTATTTTCGCTACTGCTCAAGTAGTGTTCATTACTGCGAAGATCGCTTTCATATTCACGTCTTTATCCGTAGTTAAAATATATGACTATCATATATTCACAGTCGTTTAAAACACTACAGCTATTCGCGGGTGAAAGATTTCCGGAATAAGAGGGACCTACATTGAACTGAATGAGCATTGCTTGACTAGAGAACAGCTATGATGACACTGTACATGTCAAGTTTAGATCAATTCTCACCTAAAAGGTGCCACATCTCACTGATTTTCATTCCAATAATCATACGCATGTCTGCATATCTATAACATAAAATAAGTTGATGTGATCAGAATTTCAGAACCGTTATCTCAAGCCCACATAATTAGATGTCTCTATTCGACATCCACGAGACATATAAGTTAAGGTGAGATTTTACCCTTTTTGCCAAAGCCTGCAAAAGAGAAAACGTCGAGCTACCTACTAGGTAGTACGAGAGGAATCAAACTTATAACCGGCGGATTTCGTGGTTCAATACTCTTCCACTGAGCTACAGGGAACACACTAGTGAACTAGACCATGCACTGTGTTCATATGAGTAGCACGTCCTGTATTCTGTTAGGATCAGTGACGTCGAGAGCGTTTTTCCCTTTTTTGTATAATTTGGACATTGGATGTTTGCTTTGGCACAAGCAATATAAATCAAGCAATTATAGATCATGGATGCCGCTGTAGAGGTTAATTTAGCTTACAATAAAACTTCCGACGGTGCGTTTAATTGAGATACTAACGCCCTCTCTCGTTAAAGAAAAATCTTTAAGATATACATTATCCCCGCTGAAGATTGGTGTGTGAAACCAATCCCATCGAAGCTCGTTTTAATTTTTTTTTTTTGCACTTTCCTTTGTCTTGTGAACTTCTAACCGGAGCGCGGTTTGCAGAAATAATTTTTCCGCAGTTCACGTGAGAAATTTTAGTTCGGCTACTGTAAGGATATCAGTCGATGACCACCTTCTTTCTTATAAAAACTCAACGTGATTTTTTACATAGGAAAGCAGTGTTGGGGTGACATCTCAGAACCGGACCAGCACGGTCATAGAAGCCTCTAGTCACGTAAGGGAGTCTATCTGTCCCCATTCTAGGCGAAATGTGGTCCAATTTTTGTTTCAAGGTTTGCCGCAAGCTGTTTAGTGAAAACAGATTGCGAAAACCATTCTAACATGTTTAGCCTGGTGTTGATATTTGTACTTGGAGACATGTTATAGATCCGTTAGACGAACGAAAAACTCATCCCTTTATGTCACGGCAATTTACAGCCATTTCTCACTTAAGGGTCTCTGTTCGATATTTTTCTTTGTCAGAAACTGCGTGAGATCTTTCAACACACCCATTGTAAGGAAAAATTTAGTTAGTTATCGAAGAGAAGTGGTTAGAGTAGAAAAATCGCCCTACGTGATGTTTCAAGCATTGTTAATGAGTTTTACTAATGGAAACACTTGAAAGATTTAAACTGCGTAGCTTTAAAGATCTCACTTGGAAGAAACGGAACTCCTTCACGGAAGTTGCAGCGAAATCTATCAGTTTTTGAAATCACTATTAAGCACATAAAGATCTCCTCTGTGCAGCACGCGCTCGAGCCTGCGAACAGGCGTTTCTAGGGGCCTGCGTTTAATGGGAGAAGAAGCTATCTTGGCGCGTTATATTCTTCCACGCACGCCCCAAAATTGTCTATGAATCTATTACCGGGTGTGCTGTGAGCCCAGTCAGGTAGTACTGTCTTAAGTAGGCATTTCCGAGAGACTTGTCAACATCTATTGTTAAAGCCCAGTCCAAATATGACAGACAAAGAAAGCACTTACTTACAGTAACCAATCCGATTTCTTATTTGAACGGGCAGTAGCCAATTTGCATTTTATGATAAAAAAGATATCCGCTCGACATTGCTTCCTGGGCACGTAGCAACTTTCTATCGGCGGAATATTTTGATGCGCATATCACTCCCTCAAAATCGAATGCGATGAGTTCTGCTAACAGCGAATGTTACGGGGCTCTTCCATTTGTGCAGGTTTACTTGATATCCATCGAACTAGTCGACAAGGTTGTTGACGCCGTCATGTTAAAGAAATATAGCGAGGGAAAGGTATCTAACAATCCGCAAGATAGCGTTTATTATGCCCTTGTTGCATTTTTTATCACTGGACTTCTCATCAGTTTTGCTCGAATCACACTTTCCATACTGGCAATCAAGAAGCATTGTAGTTCAAGCGAAGACAGGATCAACGAAGCTATTCGTTTTTGGTCAAGTCTGGCCAAAGTTTGGCTTGAAGCTCTCCCTCAGGCAATTTTTGGAAGGTTTTTCTTTGGCGAATGTGCAGTAACTGATGACTTAAAACAATGGGGTCAAGCGTTTGGTTTATTTTCCTTGCTCCCATTCATCCTGTTTTTATTCCACCTAATCTACTACTGGTGTCCTTATTGTAAATATCAACATGACGAGAAGCCCAATCCACTGACACTCCTTGCCGTGTCTTCAACCCTGAAGGCATCCTTGTTGGGGATTTTTTGTGCAGTTAAAACCATAATCGCCTTTACCGAACGCTGCACGTTCTAAACAACTTCAAGAAACGTATTGTTGTTGACTGTGAAAGGCCTTCTAGAGCCTGTTGTTTGATTAAACCGCTCACCATCAAACCCGTTTCGGCCGGGAAGTTATAATAGCACAGTATGTTTTGTTCCGAATCTTAAGCCCGTGCTGTTTTAAATGATCATGTATTATTGTAAATCCGCAGGAGGTCAACAGGTTTCCACCACTATTCAGTTAGTGTCTAAATATCGGTTGAGGTACGATGGAAGAAAATGTTTACCAATGAAATCACTTGTAACTTAGGTTACTATAGAACTTGTGACAACGAAAGTGCGACGAATTCAGTGATAAAATGTTACCTTTTAACCCTTTAACTCCCATGAGTGACCAAGATAGAATTTTTCCTTACAATATCAATGCAATATCAAACCAGATAAGTGATGAGAATAAAGAAAAATATCAATTTGAGGATAAGTAGTTGATCCAATACTAAATTATCTGAACTAACATCATAAGAATTGTATCGTTGACAGTAAGGAGAATTACAAATTTGATCTGGGAGCTAACGGGTTAATACGAAGCTGACGGTTTGTATAGGAAGATAGCTATTTCAATGGGGCTGATCGAAAAATGACAACTATTTATCATGTAATAGAGTTTCGCATGGTATTTCCCCGAGGAAATACCTCCTCAACATCGACATAATTGTTCCGCAATCCTAGTCTTGGATTTGGGTTTGACACTTTATGATTCGTCTTGTAATTTGGAGGATAATAGTAACACTGTGGGTGAAACATCGGGCTCATTGCCTTTGTAATACTCAACACAACTTTTCCATCGTACTAGTCGCATCTCCCGAGATAGAGATGATCATCTATTTCTGTAGTTACTACCATCGCTTATTTTATAACAATGCTAAGGTATACATTTAAGCCATTGAGATATTCTATACGGTTTTATTCTATTAGTCTGGGCACCTTCTCTCCTAGAACCGAACCAGCACGGCCAAAGAAGCCTCTAGTCACGCAAGAGTCTATTTGTTCCCACTTTAAGCGAAATGTGTTACAATTTTTGTGTCAAAGTTTGCCGCAGTTTAGGATTTTCTACCACCCATTAGAAAAGTTAACATGTTGACGTTCTCGAGGTGGAACGTTTCATGAACAGCTAGTAGTTAACTAAAGTATTAGGTCGCATTGCGGTCACGTCTCGTTGAGACACGTTTCCCGGAAATGTTCAGTTTCTCCGAAAATGTGATACTAAATTAGATTGAACTGTTCTTCACATTTAAAGGCCACCGTCAATCATATTTTTAAAGGCCTTGTTCAAATATGACAATCAAAGATGATCGTCATAAAGGCACAGCCAATCCGTGACTCTCATTTCAAAATGAAAAAACGCCCGCCGTCACTTGTCAGATGCAAAGCTCCGTATCATTTTCATTCCAAAATCCTGATCCAAGACATTTGAAATCATTCCAGAGCATTTTCAATGCGCAAATAAGACAAGAGAAACCGAACAAAATGGGTCTTACAAAGAGAGATTTACTAAGTTCACTGCTTTATGGCTTTTTCATAATTGTCGAAATAGCTGACAGGGTCGTCGATGGCTTTATTTTGACAAATTATGAAGCGGGAGAAATATCCAACGACTGGAATAAGAATGTCTACATTGCCCTCACTGTCTTCATGGTAATTGGATTTTTCATCACTTTACTACATGCAGTAACATCTAGCTGCAGAATCGTTACACTATGCTGCGAGGGCGACTGCAGTAAAGGCAGAACCGACAGAACCATAAAGATTTGGATGAGTTTGTTGAAAGTATTGTTGGAGGCTTTCTCTCAAACGATAATAAGTCACTTTTACTTTGGCGACTGCGCGAAAACGAGTGACTTGAGGATCTGGGGTATAGCCTTTAATATCTTCTCTCTGCTTCCTTTCATTTTGTATGTTTTCCATTTCTACACATACTACTCCTCTCACTGCTTACAAGAATGTGATTGTGATGATGTATCAATACGGAAGGTAATTTTTCACATCATCACACTGATACCGTCCGCGCTGGGCTCTTATTTCGCATATAACTCGATCATGGCCTTCTACAACCTCTGTGCGCCACAAAAATAAACAGTTGTGCGGAAGACACTGCCCAGGAACCCTGAAGAGCGAGCGTTTTAGTTGTATAGAAGAGTATCTACATTTAAGAAACTGGAATTTTTGACCCGGTAATTTGATCATAGACCTAATTTTAAACACTACACTATGCGTCTAAGGTGGTATCAAAGAGAGATTTGTTTTGCAGGCAAAGCCAGACTTCTGATTAGGCACTGACTATACCACTGAGCACCGTCACTTGGAGGAGTTCCAAGTAAAATTAACAGCATAATTAAATTAGTAAGGTACAGATTTCTTTGGCTATTTATAGAGATGTTCTGCTTTTATTATGATTACATTTAGTCAATGAGCAACCAAATAGTTTTCGCAATACTGCAATCGACACAAAACAGCGTGCTACTGCGTCACGATCATTGTCTCTGTATAACATACTGCTAGTGCTCATTCTGACATCGCACAAAGATGTACAGACTCGATACACAATATATTTTAATCAGCTGCCATAGGAGCCTTCTAGGAAGCCTTAAGTAGGTCAGTTTGCTAAAAAACTTTTGAATATAGAGTGACACGTTTTCAAAAGTTCCTCCTGTTTATTGGAGCGAAAGGTCAGTTCTAACTATAGATATTCCAGGGTTACAAATGCCTCGAAGAGACTGAAAAAATATATATCATGTAACTACATACAGTGTATTAAAATCCAGAACCAGCTAACATTTTCGAATAAAGGAGGCAAAAGGGGAGGCCGAGAATTATCTGGAAGATTTAGGGCCTTAATTTTGTTAATATGCTAAGCCTCAAGAGAACTTGGCTGTAACCAATTGTAATGAGAATCGATTATTTCACAAAGACTGAAACTACGACCACTCGCTCATGTCGCTATTTTAATTCATTAATTCATACTATCGTCTTTTCCAAGAATAGAATATTGTTTAGTGTTTTATTCCTGAGCTGGTTTTACTGTGCTTTTTTGATGAAAGGTCTGAGGCTCAGAAATTTAATTACAGCCCATCAACAAGTCGAAATTATTTTTCATACACCAGTTTAGGCTAATCTAAAACACATCGCGTTAGTGCATAAACTACTCGTGTTCGGGAATTCATAATTCACATTTCGATTTCTGGAAAAAAACTGCTTGTCATAGCTCTTGTGTCATATGATAATCAGTCACACCCAGTTCGACATCCTCATTAGTTGCTTAGCATTTGTTGTGATATATAGCCTTACATCTGAATTTAATCCTTGATATCCAATTTCCTCGATCGATAAGGAGAAACTACGTAGCAGCATAATATTTAGACGCGTTCATTGAGAAGGAAAAGACGAGTACAGTATGGACGACTTCGTGTGTAATATTTGGCACATTATCTTGGTGGCCTACGAAATAGCTGACAAGCTTGTTGACTATTCCACTGTTAACGAATACACGGACGGAAACATCACTAACAATCCTAAGGTGAGTGTTTCTAACACTCTTGCGGTAATCTTTAACCTTGGATTGCCTATGACAGTCTTTCGCATTTTTTGCCATCTTCATAAAATGAAACTCTCTGAGAGAGGCGACAACAGCAAAGACAAGGTGCATCATGCCATCAACATGTTGACGAGTTGGGCCAAAATGTTGTTCGAAGCTTTTCCCCAAGCAACAATTGCGATGTTTTACTTTGGCGACTGTGCACCAACGAGTTCCACGCAAACCACGGTTCAAGCCTTCAACGCCTTCTCTATATTTCCCTTTATCATGTTTATATTTTACGTTGTTTCCTATTTCTATGCTTACGTAGAAATGGGGGATCGAGTGATGGCCTACTCCATCACGCTTTTCATTCAGTTCCTTATCTGTTTGATTGGCTGTATCTTTGCTGGTATATCGATAAACAAATTCAACGAACCATGCATTGGGGCTGATTTTTAAACATGTACTTCTACCTTTTAAAGACCAGCATGCTTTCCACTGCTTGTGAAAACCATTCTAACATGGTTAGCCTGATGTTGATATTTGTATTTGGAGACGTGTTATACATCCGTTAAACGAACGAAAAACTCATTCTTGTAACGTCGCAATAATTTACAGCCATTTCTCACGTAAGGGTCTCTGTTCGATATTTTTCTAAGTCAGAGACTGCGAGAGATTTTCCAACACACCCATTGTAAAGAAATATTTAGTTAGTTATCGACGAGAGGTGGTTAGATTAGAAAAATCGCCCTAAGTGATGTTTCAAGCTTTGTTAACGAGTTTTACTAATGGAAATAGTTAAAAGAATAAAACCGTGTAGCTTTAAAGATGCGCACATGGCAACTTTCTATCGGCGGAATATTTTCATGCGCATATTACTCGCTCAAAATGGAATGCAATGAGTTCTGCTAACAGCGAATGTTACGGGAACTTCTATTTGGGCAGGTTTACTTGATATGCATCGAACTAGACATCCGAACCAGACATCCGCTCGACATTTCCTAATCTGCGCACGTAGCAACCTTCCACCTACGGAATATTTTCAAGCGCATATCACTCGCTCAAAATGGAATGCAATTAGTTCTGCTTAGAGCGAATGTTACAGGAAGAATTTAAAGAAAACGACAAAACTTTTTAGTTTGTAAAACATGTTTCTACAGAAACTTCTGTCATCTTCAGTTAATTAATGTACAAAGCATTGGAAGTTGAATTTATAATAAGTAGAAAAATGCTAATTATGATAACTGGTGACAACAAGAAAGAGACTTTCCTTTGTTTCACGGCCTCTTCATCGGACCGCTTGAGAGGTTCAATATTTCAGATTCCTCGTTTATGTGAGAATTTAAGCTCGATTTTGGAAAGAAACTATGAGAATTCACTGAGTCGATCGCTTGGATTTCGAAACCGAAAACTTGGTAACGCAGCTAACCTTCCTTCCCACATGAAAAAGTTAATTTACTCTTTCAAAGAAAAAATTAAGGGTGGTGAGGCGAGATCAGTTTGGAAACCTAGCAACTGAATTGTCCTTGCATATCTACAGCTCCTTAGAAAAACAAGTATGGCTCCTCGTCACGCAAATCAATCTATCTGGTCCTATCTGTACTCAAAAAGGAAACAAGTAGCTATCAGAGGAGAAAATTTTCATAAACAGTCTGTAATGGACTTTCAACCTCTCTTTGAACACATTTTGTTGACTTAAGTTACTTGTCGCAACTGAACTTGTCAAGACACATTTTTCGGAAATTATCCTTAGTTTAAATGCAATTTCTTAGAAATTGTGATACTTGATATGACTGAACAATCTTTGACTTTTCAAGACCACAAAATAGACATCCTTTGTAAAGGTTCTGTACAAATAAGGCAATCAGTGATGATCGCAAAAAGCAGGGCCAATCTGCGTCTCGTTTTGTGACAAACAGGAAACACCTATTGACTCTTGATCACATGGAAAAGTTAGTCAAATTCTAATCAGTGCTCATTCGGTATCCAAGGTTCATCAGAACACCAAAGGTATTCTTTGATGCGTAAATCAGTCCGTAGTAATCGTATGCAATGCGGTCTGTCGCGAGCGAGTTCCCTCATGTGCTATTTCATAGCATTTTGATATTGGTTGAAATATCTGACAAAGTCCTTGATGTCAAAATTTGTTATATGTATTCTAAAGGAGAGATTATTAGCCATCCCAGCGACAATGTCACTGAAGCCCTCTTCGCCTTCGTGGGAATTGGATTTGCCATCAGTGTCGCGCGAAAACTATTATGCGTTCACAGAATTAGGCAAATATGCTGCAACGGCGACTACGGAAGAGGCGAGACAAACGAGGCCATTCACCTTTGGATGAGTGCAATAAAAGTGTGGCTCGAAGCTTTCCCTCAAGCACTAATTACTTACTTTTACTTTGGCGACTGTTCGACAACGACAGACGCGAAACATTGGGGTCAAATATTTGGTTGCGTTTCTCTACTTCCGTTCCTGGTGTTTGGTTTCCACTTCTGTTATTACTGGGCGTGCTACGATTGCGGTAAAAGATACAGGTATGACAAGGAACCCAATCTACTGATGATGCTTGCAATGATCACCACGCTTCTATCCCTGGGTTGTGTTATTGCCACAATCCACTTGATCATGGATTTCAACAAATTCTGTCAGCCACCGTTGGGTGAGTAGCACAGAACTCGTTACCGCGACTCAAAGGCAACGGCGATGCTGCGCTTTGTGTGCAAAATTATTACATTGGAAGTCCCTTTTATAAGCAGTAAAACTCAAGCAATGCGATCACTTTTCAGAGAACCATAGACATTTTGACTTGATTATTACGCTTACCACCGATGGCTGCATATCTGCAGCCACCAATGACTCCATATCTGTCCGTGATACAGTGTAGTGTAAATTTGTCTGAATGTAAAGCCCCTCAATATTGTGCTAGATTTGAGTTTGAAGACCTCAAAGCAAAAAATTCTTTGTTTCAAGAAAAAAGAGTTACCTGTTCTTGGGAAAACGTTTATGCGGATGTTAAGAATTAGAATAAACCAAGTTTTTATTTCAATTGTTTGCAAAATCATACAGTTGGTTACGATTAACTTTATAGATTGGTAGTAATTGTAAAAATACAATAAGTTGGATAACTGAGTTTTTTCCTCTGATATTTAGACAATAGTTGTTTGTTTTAATAGCACAGAACAAATTCTTAACCTGTTATGAGAGATATTTGTCCCGTTTTTGTTTTAGATTTCCACGATATGTTTGAGGTGGTGTGATATTCAGCAACACTCGCAAAATAAAAATTTAAAAAAGAAGTACTCACTTTTCCAAAATTTTGTCTTGTTTTGTGGTGCTGAACGATTCTAACTGCAGGGATTCCTGAGTTACGAACGCCACGGCCAGATGAAAAAAATTATTCCACAACTAAAATGAAGAGAAATAAGGGATTTAGTAACCAATGAAAAGAACAATATACTAACAGTGCTCTCAATTTAACCAATTTATTTGGTTTCAAATGTAAATCGTTGCCTCATAGAAAGGAAACGAGTATCTTGTTTCGTGTTCATTTTCGGCCTTTCGTTTATAGCAACGTTCGACAATAAACTTCAGTAGAATGATATCCTTCAAGTAAGTTCACGCCAGTTTAACCCTTAAATGCCCGGGGGTGATTGACATATAACTTCTCTCTAAAATATCCATACATTACCCAGCAAACAAGTAATGAGCATACTCAAACTTATCAGGGAGAAGTTATTATCTTGCCATAACACCAAATTCTTGTAACTAATTTACGGTCTCACTATTCTTCCTTCTCATATACGAGTTTTCTTGTTAACGGCGTGAAATCAGAAAACATTCACAAAAATACTCACCTGATCCTCAAATGCCCCTGCTCCAAAGTGCTCCTGCATCGCTTCAGAAAAATACTGAATGGCATTCAAGATCACGCTATATTGACACAAAATATGAACAATCAGGCAGCGAAACGAGGTTAACGATATTAAAAGCAGTTAAGTACACGAGACAAAAAGGTAACATGGGTTTCACGTTTTAAGAAGGTTCTCAATGAAGCAATTTCGATCGATCGCCCGAGCCACACACCTGTTCTGAACCATGGTCATTACCATCCAGTCTTTAGGAAAGATGTTGTTGCTCACAAACTCGCGAAACAGCATGAAAAGTTCCATAAGAAAATCCTACGGAAGAACAGGTGCATAAGGTAGTTCAGTATTTTTTCACATAGAGCTTTATTTGCTTCTGCTCTTCTACAACACCACGGTTTCTTTAGAAACTTACCCCCTATTCATGACGGGCAATGAGTCTACGTATGTCTTAAGACAAAAGACAAAAGTACACGCGACAATCACAAAAGGTAATCTGGGATTCCGATAATCAGTAAATTTTTTATCGATCAAATAAACAAAAAATAAACAAGATCATCCTTCCCGCGATACCTCGTCCTTACAAAGACGTCTTCTCAGATTTCCCTGAAATCCTGAGGTCAAGGAATCGTGACCTGAAAACTACCCAAAACACCTTTCGGGGTTGTCGCTTGCACTTTTCCGCTTTTTTATACAATCTTTATCGAAACAGCAGTGTACTACGAAGTTTAGGCCCTCCAACAAGAAAGACGATCCAACACACCACAGTGTCCACAAAAATGTAATGGAGACTGTGTTTCCCCGTTTTCCTTGTGGACGACATGCACGTAAACACTCTTTGGGGGGTCGTTATATTTTTCTGTAACAACGCCCTCCATTCTCAATCTAAATACTTACAAATAAAAAAGTTACGAAAAAAGAGAACAACGTTTGCAACAATCATTGCGCGATGAGAAATTTTTAGAAATGATAAAAGATCAATAATTATGAAACTCACCAGCAGATCCTGGTCAGTTGGAAAGTGTTGTACGTACAGCTGGTAGTGTTTCTCGTCCATCTGCTGTAGCATGGCTATCAAACACGCCACGTAGTTACCCTGATACAAGAAAACCAAGTCAAATCCGATTTAAAGCAACAGCTGGTGAATAGCCAATCACCCAAGTCACATGCGTGTCAATCAATCAATCAATCAGCGCGCAAACAGCAACTAATATCTAATAACGGGCAGGAAGAACACGTCCCGCTCGTTTTAAAATGAATCAAAACTTAGCGTGCAAGATTGCACTGCATCATGCATAAAACGCAGTACAAACTAAATTGAAAAGAAAAGCACCTTGTCTTATAGAGCCGTTTTCAATTGAGTGTTAAAATTCATTCATGTTTTCTTATGCAATCATAGAGCGCTGTGAAGCAAAATTACTGAATGCCCGGATTCCGTCCGGCAACAAAACAAAAATACCTACCACAACAGCCAGCGACCGATCCATCATGATCACAGCTTTCACCACATCACGCAATAATGACGTTGCCAACAAAAGAACATCGTCGTGGGTGGAGCCCTGCACAGATAAACGGAATGTTATGATCGTATCAACCACGAAGGCTCATCAAGCCTCGGTCAAATGATAGCTTAGTGTGCACCGAGGAGAAACCGAATTTAGTGTTGATGACGTACGGTACTTGTAAAGGCCTAATTCTGAATAACATTATGAAAACTGTTTTGGTTCACGAGATATCAGACAAAAGCTACAACAACGTAGCACTGAATTTGGAATTTCCCGGGAAAAAAGTCTCGGAACAAGGTCCAACAACACAAGCAACCCACATGTGACACCACATCTGGGAATGGAACCCGGGCTAGAGCGGTGGGAAGCGAGCGCTCTCACCACTGCGCCATCCCCGCTCTCCACTTCCCTGGGTTTGACTCTTATCTGAGACGATAAAAGCTTTAAAAGCCTACAAAATATTCACGAAAATCGAGTACATGTACAAAACTTTCCTCAACTCACCACATCATTCCTTGTCAAAATGATCAAAATATCGTTCATGATGTCGATACAGCTCTTCATTTCCTCACTTTTATTCATCTCGTGTTTGAGTTGTTCAACAATCATGGGGAGGAGAACATAGCGTGATTCTGTTAAAGAAGATATAGATTACTAACAAAGCGGTTTTTTTTCTTGTAAACTTAAACTGTGACATACTAAACGATTCTTGCACCGTTCGAAGCTTCCTAGCAATTAAAATTTGTTCCCAGGTTCCATTTGAGGCATTTTCTGCCACCATGTCTTCTTATGGTAGGTCATGTGATAAAACTGTGAACGCTGATTGGGTGACTAAACTAGCGATTGGCAGCGAGAAGCGAATAAAATGGCGGGGAATGGCAAAGTAAACAAAATAAATGACAAAAAAAAATGCCTGCATGCCTGCATGCCTGCATGCCTGTTATGATAGAAGCAATGACATCATTTTGGTAGGTTTTTACAGAAAGTGATCGTGCTTTTTACATGACTATAGACCAACAGTGAAACTTGACTTGCTTCTGTAGCTTTTCTCCTCCGCTGTACAAGGATTGCAATCGAACAACAAAGAACAACAACATGAGAAGTGCAAACTTACCTTGGTCTTCAAAGAGCTTCGATTTCACCATGTTATGGATGCAGTCCATCTTCTGAGAAGTCAAACGCTTCTCTGGAATTTTCTCGATGAATTCCCTTGCATAGTGACTAAATCAAACAAAATAGCGTTAATGTGTTGCAATTTAGCCCCAATTGTTTACTTGAAACTAAAACATATATCTCAGGGCATTAAAATATCGCCCTCAATCGAACCAAATTAAAAACTCGCATCAATTTAATTTTATCATTATACTTGATTTTTTTATTGAGGAAGAACAGAAGTTCTCTTTGAACGCACTATGCAAGTTACAACCTATCTATTTGGTTACATACAATACAAACCTAAGTTCTTTGCTATCAAAAACAAGCATCAAGTCTACAAACGTTGCTGGGAAGTATTTCAAAGCAGCTCCCTAAGATAAGAAAATGCAAAGCCAGGAGAAAGTCAGATTTGTGACGATTTCAACGTTATTTAGAGCGTTGGTGAAAAAGCTTACTAAAGTTCAGATCCTATCGCATTTTTGTCCTGGGTTCCACGAATACTAAACTCAGCCCCTGCAACCTACACAGACTGTTTTAAAGTATCAACCGTAACAATTTACACTTTAACCCCTAAAAGTGATTTGCATCCTATTTCTCCTAACAATATCACCCCTCAATCAAAGTCATGCGCAGAATAGAGAAAATTATTGCCAGTTAAACAATCTCTTGATTGATGAAGAAATTCTCCTTATCAGCACCATAAGAGAGGTGTAGAAAACAGTACGGAGAACATTTGTGGTGATGTTAAGGCGTAAAGGGCTATAGAAGCTTCTCTTCTTCCAGTACATCTTCAGACATTCTTTTTGTGCAATACAAAACTACCATCATAGGAGAGACTACAACATATTGGGTCAGTAAGATAAAAAAAAATTAATAAAAAGCAGCAATAAACCAACATGAATCAAAGAAGTCTATAGGTTGGGAAGATTGAAACAGAATGCAAACGACGAACTTAAAAAAACTTGAGGCTAACTTTTCGTTCTCTGAGGAAAAATAAAAGGTAACACCTTTATCGTCTGTTAATTTGTGTCAAGAGTTTTTCACACAATGAAAATAATCAGCGGTGTTGCACTTTTATCCCATTTGTTCTCAATTTTTTATTGGCGCAAAGCTCACTCTGAAGAGAATTAAAAGCATGACCTTTGCCCCAAATGAAAAAATATTGGTATACTTGTGTGAGGAGGGTGTCATTCTTGACATCTGCCATGAATTGTACCAGAGCTTGAAACAGGTTTCTCAACTTCTCTTCAAATTCGGACTGGCCCTTGTCACCAACCGCTCTAGGATGCAATTGATAACATTAAACAAAGAGATTTCGCTTACTTCTTGGGAAATGGAAATAGAAAAATTGTTTCTCGGTGATCATCTCAATCACACCACCTTACCTTAAGAACAAAATTCTTGACTGAACAATGAATTTGAAAATGTACTCCATGGCCTATGGGAGAAAATAATACGCTTGCCCTTTAATAAATGGCAGATTAATTGACATAAGGGCTGAGAGAAAGACGGATAGCCAGACAGACAGACAGGCAGGTGGACAGTCAGACAGAAAGACAGATAGACAAGAAGACAGACAGAGAGACAGACAGGTGGACAGTCAGACTGAGTGACAGACAAACAGACAGACAAATAGACAAACAGACAAACGGACAGACAGACAGACCAACAAACATACAGGCAGGCAGACAGACAAACAGAAAGACGGGTAGACAGACAAGAGGACAGTCAGACTGAGAGACAGACAAACAGACTGACAAATAGACAAACAGATGGACGGACGGACAGACAGACAGACTGACAAACATACAGACAGACAGACGGACAGACAGACAGACAAATAGACAGAAAAACAGAGACAGACAAACAGACAGACAAACAGGCAATCAGACAGATCGACAGAGAGATAAGAAAGAAACGAAGTCAGTCAAGCAGAAGGCAGAAAATGGAACAGACAATCACAAAGTAAAGACATGGCACAGGAAGACAAACCGAGGGATTGACACAAGACAGGGCAAGCCGTACCTTCATAGCCTTGAGAAGAAGATCCATACGTATTTTATCCGGTTCTGCTGCTGTTATTGCATAATTTATGTACTCCAAAAATACCGAGATGAGAATGCTGCGATCAGAATACAAGTTGCCAAAAGTTATTATCATCGTTTGTACTTTAGTAGATCACAAATTACAAACAACGACACTTTTATGAGCTTTATCATAACAGATAGTTAAACATTCCTGGCGCTGCCAAGCAAAGAGAGAGGTTTTGCCTCAATCCAGTTTACACAGTCCAAATTCCCCTCTCACCTTAAGATACAAGCAGGCTAGAAAGCTAAACTAGTTATTTTAGTGAGCCTTTCCCATATATGACTGACATGGACGCATGTGAGTGCCCAGACTGTTTGGTAATCTTAATAACTTCCCAGACACCGTATGTCTTAGTTTATATCCAACAAGTAGATCACTCACTGATCTGCTTTCGTGGCTCCAAACAACTCTTCTATGTAGGCATCTAACACGGGTCTAAAATGGTGATACTTTTTGTCTGCCAGCAAACTGATGGTAAAGACCTGGTGAAAATAGAAGAACTCCGTCGCTAACAACAAGCCCTGTCTGTAGTCGGTGTCGAAGTAGTTTGAGTTTCCAAGTTTTTTGGGTCGTTTTCAGTTTGCCTGAGTGTAGGCACAGATAGACAAAATGGAAAATAGGATGATTCTGGATGAAGAAGATCACCAAGGATTTAAAAAACCTGAGACATCTTAGCAACACTTATTGATGTCCAACAACCGTGGGAAAAAATTTAGAATTTCAATGCCTTTTTAAAACTTTTGGCCAACGTCTGTGCGCTTCTTTAAAGTGATAACTCAAGGAGTATATGTTATAAAAGTACGAAGTAAACTGAAGTTAAGGTAATAACAAGTAGAGGGTGACAGCTTTTGAAAGTACTCCCCCATTACTAGCGAACTGACAAGACCCTTCAACTTACCAAGGCGTCAAACACAAGCCTGTCATACTTGTGCGCATGTTCCATAAGAATTGCAAAGAGAGCATCAAACGTATCTGTCAAGAACTGAAAATAAGACAGTCGAAGTCGAGTCGAATTTCAATAAAAAATAAAACAAAAGCGACAATTCTTAGTTCACATAGTTTTGGAGTCGCACTACCTTGCGACCAAATGAACAAACTCGAGATTTTTTTTTAAAAAGTGGGTAGAGAAACTGTAGTGCTGCATCAGTTGGGGGGGGTGCTGCATCAGTTGGGGGAGGAGGGGAATAACAAGATAATTTGGTTTTATCAAATGAGTTGATAATGTGAATTGGCCACCGTAGAGAGATTACTAAGACATTTACAGCGGTAGCCATTTGTCAGAGCGAAGATAGGAAGGGCTAACACTCAAAACGTCAGCTCTATAATTTCACTACAACTCAGTTGATAAAACCAAATTATAGATGTTTTGTTGGCTCCACCTCATTTAAGAATAAACTGACAAAACATAAATAACAAAAACATAAATAAATAAATAATAAATAAATAACATATAATAAATATATAAATAACAAAATCACACTCTGATCCGTCAGGACATCATCAAAGATTCATAAATATGAACCTGCTCAGATCTCAAGGCCTGCGATATTTCAAAAAAGGCCTCTGTATCTTCCTGGCAAATTGGATGACGTAAAATTGTTTGAAACAGTCTGTGCACAAACCTTAACGATTTCTTCACCACTGACTTTCATCACAGTAATCAGAATATCTTTTAATTTTCCAACCATGGAATTCCACTTAAGCAGTCCAAGAAGATCAACTAGCACACGAAAAAGATGAATCTCATTACAACATGAGCAAATAACAAACAAACAAACACCAACAAATTTGTTGCCTGTCACAATTAACACTGGTGACTTTCACAACCTAACAAGAGTTCCTCTCAGACATGAGTGGCTTTCAATTGAGTGTCGAAAGTAAACCGGGAGTGCATTGGCTATGCTTCACCACGGTGTTTGATTGGTCTAGAAAAATCGCACCACACTCTCAACCAATCAGGAGCAAAACTGAAACTAACCGCGACTGGAGTAGCCTTTTATTCCCGCGCTTAATGAAGTTTGCTTTTTTCCACCTTAAGAATTCGAAAATTCATGACTAACTACATATCATCAGATGAATTTCTAACTCACCGTTTTGGGTCAATTTGGTTGAACAAAGAAGAGTTTCAATTTTCAGTTTGTCATTTGTCGCTGTGAATGGCATATTACTGGTTTTCACAGGAAGAACATCATCTCTCTTGGAAGGTAGATGGAGATACTGCTTAGGATGAGGTACCTTTCCATGATCATTCTGTACAAAAAAACACGCAATAAGAGATTTTGAGCGAAGGTTTTCTCTCCCAGTAGCCTGAACAACAAGCACAATTTATGTTGTTCAGGCAAGCGAAGGTTCGCAAGGCGCAAAAAACACCTCCTCCTCTCGCACGTGTCTCGCACGTGTCTCGCACTTCGCGTTTGCCTTGCACTCGCTTTGCGTTTACCTCGCACATGCCTCCGCTCCCCCTGCAAAACGCTAAAAATGCAGGCTAATTGCTACCCTCCCCCCCCCCCAAAAGGACAACCTCTTATTCTCTTACAGGCGTCGTTCTTGAGATGAAAGATTACTTCCATCACGAACAAGCTAGTCTACTTCCTTCTAGAGCCTCTCTTTGGGAGTTACACCATTCTCCCACACGGAAGCCTCTTAGTGAAGAAGAATTGAGCGAGAACGAGGCTGGATGCAACACATCATTCTTTCTTTTCAGTTCATGGACAACTGAATACAGCGTGGACAATACTCTACCCAAAGCTATTTCTACACATGACTGTATCATCACAGGCCATTAAACAGGTTTATCAGACCACACAAATAAAGGGTACATTCCTAAAGAAACTGCGGTGCTGCGTCGACAAGATAATACGTTTATCAACTTGATTGATAGCATAAATTGGACATCGTAAAAAGTTTCTAAAGCTAACGTTTCCAGTGGTGGCTTTTTGTCAAAGCGAATTCGCAAAACTCAGTTGATAAAACCAAATTACCCTTTATCAATCAATATCCTTCCAGCTTTAAACTCTGGCTTCTCACTTAAGATACATGTATAGTTTTCATAACAACTCCAGAAATTCAGGTACGGTACAGGGGGAATTAACAAAAAGCGAGGAATGAATAAGGAAAAAAAACCGAAGAGCTTTAGTAACAAGAGCATCTTCCCTGACCTTGTAGACCAAAAGCTCGTGTGTACCATCCTGAAGAGTAGTCCCGTCATTATACATGAGCCGTGTATGTGAAAAGGCAAAGCACTTTTGAGTTCTGTCTCTCTCTGTTTTGAGATAATGTGCAAACATGTACAACGGTAAAATAAGTAACACCATTATCAAAATTATCCTACACCTTTTAAAAGGAAATTATGGGGATTTAGGTGAAAATGGACCCTCAGAGTTTCAGGTTTTGCAGTCTCATCGCTAAGAATGACAAGGAAAATACAGTAATCATTGACAAGTTGTATAGTATATTGAATGGAGGGAGGTTAAGCTAAATTTAGAGACAGAAGAACTTTATAAGTAATTAATTATATCACGTTACATGTATCTACCTTCGTTAGCAGACCTGTGTTTAAACATAATCCTGACGTGTGAATTTTGGAACTGTTCGATCGGAATGACCAACTGAAATACAAATAAATAAAAATTACACAGGGAAAGCTAAAACTGAGGAATATCTAGCTACTCTATTCGAGGCCAGTGCCCAAACTAACGGAGCTGGTCTTCGAGGCACGAAGCAACAAGTAGCATAGCCACTCCTCCTCTATTGAATGCTGGGTCGATCCAACTCAGCGGTCAAACGTCTGCGCGCGTGCGAACGTCGAAATGGCTAGGTAACATATCCATGGGTCTACAGAGGGTTATAACATGTTCACTGCTAGCGTTACACCTTCAACTCGCAAGATCTTAATGTTAATTCTCCCTTCTTGTTGCTACACATTTACTTGTAGATCAGTTACGAGAATTTGGTGTTAGATCAAGATAACAACTTCTACCCGATAAGTTTGAGTATTCTTATTACCTAACTGCTGGATAACGCATGGACATTATTGGGAGAAATTAGATGTCAATCCCGTCTGGCAGTTAAAGGGTTACGAATTATTTCTTTATATATCCTACATAAGGATAAAAATAACTACTTATTGAAGGCTGACCATTTGGGGTAAATTCCTATATTTACCTTAATAGTCTCCACCCATTCTGGTTTCCCAACATGGTAAAATATAACTGAACGATATTCACTGACAGGATTCTCTCCAGCACCAATGCAGATCACATTCTGTATGAAAGGAGTGTAAGCATTATTTTTTTATCTAATTTATAAGTTAATCAACACTTACGTAGCAGGTATTAGCTTATGCTGTAAAAATGTACGCAATTCAGGCCATTAATAATTCATAGAACAAAAAAATCTTACAGCATGTATCTATTAAATCTCTCGCTCTGGGCAAAAAGAAACATATAGAGTTGAGCATGTGGACAGGACAACAGACTGTTTAAGGGTTCTTAATCATAACCATTACAATTTCTCAAATATGATTGGTACATTAGCTGCCATATTCTTCACTAATCATTTGGTACAGTTGAAATCCGACAGAGCAATTGGACAGTTGGCTATGATCAGACACCTGTAATTAGACAGTTGAAGCAGCCAATCATACTTAGTCTACTCAGCTAAGTCTACCAATCACAGTATTGATCACAATAACCAAAGCAACAACCAACTATCCTGGAAAAAAAATGGGGAATTTCCAAAATGGAGGAGTTTTTTACATTGTCTATACCGCAGATATTTGTCCTAAGCATAACAGCATCAATGTAATGAATACCAGCACCGACATTGTTTATCACAGTTGTCTTGAAAAATAAATGCTATTTTCTGCTCATTAAAGCAAAAACATAGACACTAAGTTATATAGTGCTTGCACATTTTTTAAGTGTTTATTTTTTAAGTTTATGTTTCATGATGAATACAATCTTTAGTACTGATGAGTGATTACCTCAAGAGTTGTGCCATCATCTGACAGAACATGCATTGTGACCTCAATGTTCTTATATGCTGTCTTTTTACCTGTAAGAGCATTAAATGTTAAGTTTACATGACTTTCCACCATTTGTGAAAGAACTCAAGATAAGAGAACTGAAAAATAATTTTCTTGAACCTGTTGAAAAACTGGGAGGTTCAAAGCATCAGATCATTGGCGATATGATCAGCAATGAACAACTGGTAAGTAGAAGTTTTTACTGGTTTCAATGTCATCCATTTTGCATTCTCCAACACTAACAATTATACAGGTTTTTGACAACGAAAGGCCATTCAGGTTTATCTTGTTTCTCCACTCCTTAAATTTTGGCCATAAACTGAATTTTTAACAAGTAATTCTCATTTGGTCTTAGTATACTCACCTTTCTCAAATTCTCCAGAGTGAAGGGTAAGATATAAGTCATTTCGAAGGTCACCTGAAAAGAAAGAAACGCATCAAAATGTAATGTAACAAAACAGCTGTAGAACACCAGAAAGATGCAAAGTACCAACTGTATTAAGCAGACATTTAACATTGAGCATATTCCAAAGATATTAATAATTAAATTAATTTGAACAAATTAGCACAGTCTTGTTATGTGCCTCTCTGTCAAGAATGCTCTTCTCTAGTTCACAATAACTGCCTCATGTGTACTACCATGTCTTCAGGAAGGAGCATGGGGCCTTTATAAAGTCTAGTTCTAACAGTTATTACCTTCAATTGCTTCATGCTTGTATCTATCACGCTAGGTTAACCTTTTAACACCCAGAAGTGATTAAAATGCCACTTCTCCCCATAATATCCACATGTTTTCTGGCAAAAAGGTGATGAGAATACTCTAACTTATCAAGAAGAGATGGTTGTCTTGATCTACCACCAAATTCTTGGAACTAATTTACAAGGAAATGTGTACTAGCTGGAGGGGAGAATTGACAATCAGATCTCTGGAAGTAAAGGGCCATTGGTGAAGTGAGGTCTCATTGGAACAATATCAACAAGAGTTTATAGCAAATTCTCACCTGGCATGATAACCTCAGGAAAACCATGTTTTCGTGCAACAGCTGTTTGTTTGTTTACAAGAAGTGGATATTCTTCCCTTATCTAAAAGAGCATCATCATTCATGATTATTTGCTCCAATATTCACAAGTGTTTTTCTAAAACATTGTAAAAGTTTGCAACAAAATATCTTATTAAAAGACTCCATGAAAATGAACTGCAAGATGACAGAGGAAAAGACATAGTGTCATGATCAATGGAATATTGCAAATACACAGCATGAGAGAAACTAAAAGGTCACATAAAGATATGTGCCTGTAACAAAAGCAAGAAAATTTTGTTACAGTGGTGTTCTTTGGAAATCAAAAAAATGATCCTTGCAGATGCGCCATAGTTTATGTAATTACAGAAAAGAAGCCTAAAAAATTCAGGCTTTGACAAGATTTGAACCAGTGTCTTTTACAAATTAGTTTAGGGCAACTACCAACTAAGCTAGAAGGCCACAAATTGAGAAAAAGGCAAATTTTGGAGTGTTCATCTTTCCAGTAAAGGAACTTTGTAAGGCAACACGGCAAAGGCATCTTTAGAAACTAATTAATTTTTTCAAAATTCTAAATGTATATGCTGTATCTCTATTTCACAGCAACACTACCCCTGATCTTCTTACCTGTTCAATATCTCCTGCCATAAGTTTTAAAGAGATGCAAATTCCTTAAAAAAGAAAATGTGTAAAGGTCAGAATAAAACAAAAGTCAAATTCAATTGAATATTTAGTCTTCTATAAGTTTTGGATAGCTTAAATAACAGTTCTTACACTATCATAAGTGGTTAATAATATTCCATCATTATGCATTCAAAAACCGTTAAGAATTAAGGAACCTCTATTGAGGCAGTGGATACCTTGTCCTTTTAGGCCTTCTTGTGGCTGAGAAGTCATGCGCTTTATCCAAGAATTAAATGAAAATGATTGATTATCTGGAAGGCTGAAAATCATTTGGTAAAAATAAGTAACTTGCAAATGTTTTCTGAAAACTTACAATGTACTTAATTGAAATATTGGCAACTACATGTATACCTTACAGAGAAATAACTAGTAAAGCATCAACAGCATGGGAGGTTATAATAAGCAAATTTTAAAAGACCATAGAGTGATCCACAGTGTTCTTAATTTTCAGATGAAGAGATTTAACTTTTTGCAAACATTTCCTGCCAAAACTACAAAGGAGGAGAAAAACAATCACACTTACAGAAGTAGTTGAAGGAAATGTTCTTTTTCTTCGTCATATTGAGCAGTGCCATTAAACAAGTCCTCAATGTTCAATACTAAAGGATTCAACATGAATTTCATGAAATAAGTAATAATCACTCATTAATTTACCTGGTTTCAAGGCCAACAACATTGGAATTCAGCCACCATGCGACTGTATAGTATACTGCTACAGCTGTACATGGCTACTTTATGGATGCAATGTTAAAGTGTGTTGAATTCATAACTTACACCCTATGCCAAATGGTCTTCTCAGATTGTGTGTGAGCCTCTTGCTGTCAGTTTCTTTGATATCCATACGTCCTGCAAAAACACGAAAAGAGTCAGATATACAGACTTGGAAATTCTTTGCTTGAAGGTCATCATAAGGGTTCCTTTGCACAATAATAAGTTTTCCTCTCTTTTTGTTGTCATTGTTTTTTTTTTGTTTTTTTTTTTAAGTAAATATACATGTTGCTGAAAAGTAGATAGTGCTGGAACCCAAGTTGAATGGCTAATTCCCTCCTAATTTACCTCTGTCATCTTCAGTTTACCTACAGAACCAGAGTAATAGAGCAGTATACCACTAACCCTTCAATAAGCTGGTCACCATCCCTTTTTTAAACTTCCTACTTTTCCCCTTACATCCCCTTCCATCCATTGTATCAAGTTGTCAAAACTTTCCTTCTGTACAATTATACAAGCTACACAATTTGTCCTTAGCCCTAGAAAATACATGGTACTGTAGTTACTGTTAACAAAAATCCTCTCAATATAAATTGTTGATAACAAACACTAACCAACTCTGACAATCTGGCAAACAATATAAACTGGTTCACGTTTTAAGTCCTTTGCTCCTAAATCCTAAGAACAAAAGAGGAAAAATTTAATTTAATTTGTCTTTACAATCTATTTCATCTTAAGTTAATAATTTCACACTAGTTTGATTTGAATTTCCCTTTGTTTCCCTTTGTTTCCCTTTGTTTTATCACAATCTCTAAGCCAAGAAGTTACAATCCAAACTTCATTTATTTAACAGTATAATTTGGTTTGATCAACTGAGTTTACTTGATAAATATAAATTGGTTGATGTTTCCAAAGTGAATGAATCTGTCATTTACTCTGACAAAGGGATGACACTCAAAATATCAGCTTTAGAAACTATATGGTTGCCAATCTATATTATCACGTGAACTCAGTGGAAAAAAACCAACACCCCCTCCTCCAAACCCCCCACCAATCCAGCTCCACAGTTTCTAAGTAATTTCAATCTGCAATTTAAAATAGTAAATCTGCAGTTTGAAATAATTTCAGTCTGAAACTCAGTTAAAGATACAGCACTTATAAGTATTTTAGTAGTTTTTTTTGTTGTCTAAAATAAATTTAAAATAATACTAGTTTTTTTTTCTCATTTCTCAATCTTTTAATTAATAACATGACAATAGACCCACATGGATAAATAAATTTACCAAACTTTGAAATAAATTGAATAAAAGCTCCTAAATCAGACTTGTAGTGGTTTGACTTACTGTGAACAGTACAGTGAGGTTGTGGAATCTTTCAAGATCTTTTGGTACTCCTGCTTTATCCAAAGACACCAAGTACTGCTCACTGTTTCAAAACAAAAGTATTGAAAAATCTCTTTTCTAAATACATAATTTAAAAGGTAAAAAAGGGAAAAAAATTTTGAATTAATCTGCAACTTTCAATCTTACACAAGAACTCACAAATTATACAAAGTGATGCACATTGAAATCTACAGTTGACATGTTTCTTACTGCCTATCCAGTGCATTTAAATGCTTTTTAAGTCACTAATAATCAATTTGGTTCACCACAGAAAGGTTCTCACCTTATGAAGCGTTCTTCTTTGGCATCGTAGAGTGACAGAAACAGCTGTGAATCATCAGTGATATTGCACACCACAGCCTTAACGTTGGCAAAAACACTATATGTTGTGTAAAATGCAACTTCTTTCTTTGGTGATTCAGCTATTGACTACCAAAAAAAACAACAACAATAATCAGCACAGCCTCAAGTTTATATCAACTACAGTATGCAATCTGGAATGGGGTAGAATGAAATAAATGGTCATGCTATGTTGGGTTTCTAACAAATATTCCATGTGGAAGCAAGGTTTAATCATTTGTAATAACTATTTTTGTCTCAGTTACAGTGACTTCAGATTCAAAACTTACCGAAGACTTTATTCTGTTTGAGGTGCTGATATGCTAAAAAAATCAATTGAAAGGTCCATTACTTTGAATCAGGACATCTGACATTTCAATAACACTACAGCATTTGCCACTATTTAACTAACACTCACCTCTGCATGATTTGTTTGCACTGAATCCAATGTAGATCAAAGTATTCTGTACTTTATGATTTAACTAATATAGTTATGCAATGAGAATCCATAAATCAGAGAGAGAGCCAGTGAGGTTTGTTAATTTTGCTGACTCAAGCCTTTTAGCAAGTCCACCAGTTGTGCCTTTTCACTGCTAATCTTAGATGTAATTTCTCTAATATATATTAGACCTACTATGAAAACTCTGATCAGTAAAGAGCATACAGTCTCTAGGCAATTATTGGATGAGGTTAAGCATGATATCATGAATTATCAATGCAAGGTATAAAACAAGGTTTCATAATTCATGATATCATGTGAAAGCTAAATTCAATAATTGTTTTATTATATATATTTTTAAACAATATGCAAAAGAAGACACTATCTACATAGTGTTGTCACACTACATAGACAAGGGGCTTGGAAACTAGATGGACTTTGAACTTGACATGATAACTAAATATCTGCAGCAGAAATTGGGTTATCATGTCAATTTCACACACCATTGTATATTGACTTTATACTGTAGACCAATCAGAGTTTTCATTTGAAGTCTTAAGTTTAATAGTATACAATGGTATGTGAAGTTGAATGCAAATTGTTTAAAACAAGTGCAGTAAAACAGTAATTGAATTCAGTTATCTCACAATACCATTTATTATCAAACCCTGTGTCTGTGTGTACCTGCCTCAGTCTTTGGCTTTAGCAGATGACTCAGACCTTGGCACTGACAATTCATGACATCATGCTCAACCTCATCCAATAATTGCTTAATATCTACAAGGATTTATAATTATGAATATGGTAAACCAAAAGCATTTCAGTTGTCCTTTAAACTGGGCTCTGTGCCAATTGGCAGCATTGAGGTATCAGAACATGACAGATTTTTTGCTGAATAACTTGCCAATAAACTTACCCGTCTATAAAGTTGAATGGCTCCTGTTGAATCAGGATCAATTATATTGCCCTCAGGATCACGTACCACAAGATCCAAGCCTAATGTCCTGTGAAACAGGAAAAATACAGTGTACAAGCAATGTTAAGTCTGAACAACCTTGTTATGGATTATGTAGTTTGACTCATTCAGCTCCCAAGGCTTTCCGAGACCTCCTCCTGGATGGTGGAATACCAGGGGCAGGAGATGTACTAGGTATCCCGACAAATGTGTCTGGGGATGCAGCCTGACTATTTGCTAATTATTTTATGATTATTTCAACTTTTCAAGTAAGGAGTCATGCAATAGTTGATTAAACTTACAAGTGTAGAAAGTGTCTTATCCAAGAAAACCAAATGATAAATCTTTTCCCCCACATAAACAATCATCACTTAATCCACAAACCTGTTTCCATAATCTATTGTTTGAGTAACTCTTTGCTTTAATTGTCTCAACTGATCCTGGAAGATGAAATAGCATTTTAATTGCTATACAGGAATATTGTAAGCACTCACTACCCTGAAGTATGTTACATACCTTTGGAAGTGCCTTAGCTAAGATTTGCTTTCTCCAGTCCATTAATTCCAACATCAGGTTTCTCACTTCATGAAAAAGCCTGTCTTCCTTTCTCTGCAATTTAAATTCCAAGAAGAGATTTCACAACAAGAACAGTACAAAAAAAAAATACACAATATTGTATTACAAAAAGTTGTGTATAATTAATATCAATTAGCAACTGGACTCTGCATGGAGAGGTCTGGATTCAAGACCTGTCTATGACATCATGTTGTGTTCTTACTAGATAAAACATTTTAATCTCACAGTACCTCTCTCAGCCCAAGAGTATAAATGGGTACCAGCAAATTCTCAGGGAAACCTCATGAAATGCTAGAGGGTAACCTTGCAATGCACTAGCATTCCATTCACAAGGAGCGAATTCCTCCTTGTCACTTTACAATAAGAAAACCCGGATAATGTCCAGTCTGATGGGCCATTTGGCTCAAGTAAAGACTCTACCTTTTTTTACCTTTTGAAAGAAATAACATATTTATCACAGATTACCAAATAGACTTGTTTCCACATGGCTCCCCATTCTCGCAGAACTGAAGTCAATTCTTCAACCAGAGCCTCTTCCTTAAAAACACTTTCTGTGCCACTGAAAAATAAAATTATATAGTGATCAGAAGTTTGTAG